TGTCGAGGTACAAAATATTCTAAATTCAATTTCACTATAAGTCTCCTAACAAAAGAAGTTTGTAGCTATAATACATAACCTAGAAAACACACTGACATTTTTGGGTATTAAGGGAATTTTTGGGTCATTTTGGTATTTTTTTCAAATTGACCAAAATTTTACACTTATATGTCACTTTTCGATTTTGATGTCAATGGAGGAAATATTCTACATCAAATTTCACTATGATCCTTCTTACAAACGAATTTCCTAGCTATAATAAAAATCATTAAAATAACACTAAAAATTTGGATTTTCTAAATTTTTGGTCAATTTCGGGGATTTTTTATAATTTGCCAAATTTCTCCCCAAATTTGTAATTTTTTCGATTCGATGTCAAGGTATAACATCTTCTACATTCAATTTCACTATAAGTCTTTTAACAAAAGAAGTTTGTAGCTATAATACATAACCTAGAAAACACACTGACATTTTGGGTATTAAAGGGAATTTTTGGGTCATTTTGGTATTTTTTTCAAATTGACCAAAATTTTACGCTAATATGTCACTTTTCGATGTTGATGTCAATGGAAAATTTTTTCTACGTCAAATTTCATCACTAGTCTTCTAACAAAATAAGTTTATAGCTCTAATAATATATCTTTAAAATCTTACCATCATTATGGGCATATAGGGGAATTTTATGGGTCAATTTGGGTATACTTTCAAATCGACCAAAATTCTCCCACAATATGTAACTTTTTGGGCTGGATGTCAATGAAGAAACTATTCTACATTAAATTTCACTATGAGTCTTCAAATAAAATATCTCTATATATTTTGGGCATTAAGGGAATTTTGTTTTGGCCCATTTTGTGTATACTTACAAATTGACCAAAATTCTCCCTTAATATGTCACTTTTTGGGCTCGATTTAAATGATGGAAATATTCTACATCAAATTCCACTATGAGTTTTCTAACAAAAGAAATTTATAGCTCTATAATATACTGCATTAAAATGTCATCTACAATATGGGTATTTAATTGGCATTTTTGGGCCATTTTAGTATTATTTCCAATTTGAACCGGGTTTCTTCCTTAACATGCCATTTTTTGAGCTTGATGTTAATGAAGAATATATTCTACATCGAATTTCACTATAGATCTTCTAACAAAAGAAGTTTGTAGCTCTAATATATAACCATTAAAATGTCACTAATAATTTGGGTATTTTCCTTTTTTGGTAATTTTGGTATTACTTTCAAATTCACCAAAATTCTCCCTCAATATGTCACTTTTTGAGGTAAATGTAAATGAAGGAAATATTCTACATCAAATTTCACTATGAGTCCTCAAAGAATATATTTTTCTAGCCATGATATAAACCATTAAAAAACCCTCTAAACATTTTAGGCATTAAGAGCATTTTTTGGGTCATTTTTGTATTACTTTCAAATTGACCAAAATTCACCCTTAATTTGTCACTTTTTGAATTTGATGTCAATGAAGAATATATTCTACATCGAATTTCACTATAGGTCTTCTAACAAAAGAAGTTTGTAGCTCTAATATTTAATCATTAAAATTCCACTAACAATTTGGTTATTTAGCTTTTTTGGTCATTTTGGTATTTCTTTTAAGTTAATCAAAATTCTCCCTTAATATGTCACTTTTTGAGGTAGGTATTAATGAAAGAAATATTCTTTAGTAAATTTCACTGTGAGTCTTCTAAGAAACATTTTTTCTAGCTATAATATAAACCATTAAAATACCTCTAAACATTTTGGATATTTTATACCCCGTTTTTTGGGGGATTTTGCTTTTGTTTCCCCACTTTTACCCAAATCTCCCTTAAATGTCATTTTAATGACATGACAAATATTTTACAATAAATTTTACAAAATGTCAACAAATTGTTGTATAATTTTCCACGCCTTTTGTATTATTTATTTATAGAAAAAAAAAAAAACAAAAGAAAACAAAAATAATGTTAACAACATTCATGACGTCGTTTTTACACGGTATGACATGACAAGCATGCAAGCATCAGCTGTTATGACGTTGTTTACATTAAACCGGTTTGTTTATGAATCAGTAGTAGTGTTATGGTGAGAAACTATCAGGTAGCCTTTTATTTTGTTGTTGGCCATGCACTTGAAAATGAAGCGTGACAGCAACTGAAAAAAAACAAAAATAACTAAAATATTTCATACTGATGATAATGCATGTCAACCGGGTCCATATGATGTGTTGGGGATTTTTGGCAGGGGAAAAAGGAGGGAGCAGGCATTATTATGAAATAAATTGGTTTTGAAATAATATTACTTACGAGATTAATATAATTTACTACCACAAAAAATAAACGATAAATAAAAGTGGAAGTTAAAAAGTGAGTGACATGTCTAATTGGTTTTAATGGGTTCACATTAAATAAAAATTAAATATATTATGTTTATATGTATATGTAATTTATTTTATTCTTAAATTGAAGTGTATGAAAAAAAACTTCGATAAATCTTTTTTTAAGAGCCAGTAGATTTTTTACTTCATTTCCTCCACGAGTCGTGTTTAATTCGATTTTTGCAAATATCATTCTTCCGCTAATTGAAACTATTAGAGTTTCAATTTTTTTTTGGTTGCAATCAACAATGGTGTGTATTGTTTGTACGATTTTCATATAAATAAATGATGGATGAGTTTGTTTGCCATGTCTCTGGTTCATCTTTAAGTCAATTATTTTTTTTTGGTGGTGTTTAATTGTGGATTTTGGATGTTTTCAGAACAAAGTTCGCAAATCTTTAGTTTCAGTTTTCGTTACGTGATCTTTGGATTGTTTTTTTTGATTTTTGGGTACGTTGAACTTTTTGGCCGAATCGGAAATCAATTTTTTATTTTGAATTGTTTTGGAATGTATATATCTAATTATGCTAATACATGGTAATCAAAAGACTAGTAATAAAAATAAAAAAATACTCACAAGATTTATACAATTCTTAGGAAATTTTTGAAATATTACGTTTTTTTTTTTTAAATAAATAGTATATAAAAATAAGAGTTTAAATTTTAAGGGACTTTGTGGGGGAAATTTTGGTAGTAGTTTCAAATTGAGCAAATTTCACCCTTTATTTGACACATATTGGAATAGATGTCAAGGGACATAATATTCTACATAAAATTTCAGTAAAAGTTTTCTACAAAACTAATTTTCTATCTCTTCTGCATTTTATTAAAAATCTCACTAACAATTTGGGTATTAATAGGCATTTTTGGTCATTTTGGTATTAGTTTCAAATTGATCAAAATTTTCCCTTAATATGCCACTTTTTGGGCTCGATGCCAATAAAGGAAATATTCTGCATTAAATTTCACTGCGGGTCTTCTAGGAAACGAATTTTTTAGATAATATATTTACCCTAAAAATAGTACCAACAATGTGGACATTTAAAGGGGATTTTTTGGGTCATTTTGGGTATGCTTTCAAATTGACCAAAATTATCCCTTAATACGCCCAATTTTGGGCTCGATGTCAGTGGAAAAAATATTCTACATCAAATTTCACTATGGGTCTTCTAGGAAACGAATTTGCTAGCTATTATATATATCCTTAAAATTGTACCAACAATGTGGGCATTTAAGGATATTTTTTGGGTCATTTTGGTATTATTTTCAAATTGACCAAAATTTACCCTTAATATGCCACTTTTTGGGCTCGATGTCAATGGAGAAAATATTCTACATCAAATTTCACTAAGAGTCTCCTAAGAAAAGAATATTCTAGCTATTATATATACCCTTAAAATTGTACCAATAATGTGGACAGCATTTAAGGGGATTTTTTGGGTCATTTTTGGTATAGTTTCAAATTACCAAAATTCTCCCACAATATGTCACTATTTGGTCTAGATGTCAATGGGGAAAATATTCCTCATAAAATTTCACTAAGAGTCCTCCCGGAAAATAATTTTCTAGCTATTCCACATTTTATTAAAATTTCACTAACAAATTGGGTATTAAAGGGCATTTTTGGGTACTTTTTGGTATTTTTTAAAATTAAACAAAATTCTTCCACAATATGTAACTTTCGGGCTAGATGTCTATGAAAAAAACATTCTACGTCAAATTTCACTATGAGTTTCCTAACAAAAGAAGTTTGTAGCTCTAATATATAATCATTAAAATCTCATTAGTAACTTGGGCATTTAGAGGAATTTGTTTCGGTCATTTTGGGTATACTTTCAAATCGACCAAAGTTTTCCCTTAATATGCCATTTTTTGGGCTCGATGTCAGTGGAAAAAATATTCTACATTAAATTTCACTATAAGTCTTCTAACAAAAGAAGCTTGTAGCTCTAATATATAACCATTAAAATCTCATTAGTATCTTGGGCATTTAGGGAAGTTTTTTGGGCCATTTTGGGTATACTTTGAATTCGACCAAATTTCTCCCTTAATATACCACTTTTTTGGGCTCGATGACAATGAAGAAAATATTCTACATTAAATTTCACAATGAGTCTTTTAACAAAAGAAGTTTGTAGCTTTAACATATAACCATTAAAATCTCACTAACATTAGGAGCATCAAGGGGGAATTTTTTGATTCATTTTGGTATTTTTTAATTTAAAACAAAATTCTCTCACAATATGTCACTTTTTGGGGCTGGATGCCATTTTGTTCGATTTATTTAATGTTTAGAGTATATACCTTCTAAATAAAATCTATTTATAAAGCAAGCAATTACATCCTAACTGTTTAGATTAGTATTGAACTGATAGACTTAACTAAACAGCTGACTGACATAGTCAGCTGTTATTTGTTTACATGCATTTCCAATTGTCATAATAATAAGATTTTCTATGGTAAATCGAGCAGCGCGTTTTAGCAAATGTGCTTTTAGAAATTGTTGTATTTTAGCCTTTAAGAAAATTAGAAAGAAATCAACTTATTTTATTTCTCATTCCGTTTCTCTTTGAAAACTCTTCATTATATCACAGTCTATTTATTATATGGTGTTTTGAAATTAAATCTTAAAATCATTACGACTATTAACCCGTGTTATTATATAGGGATGCTCTTCCGTCGGGCATAGAAAATTCTCATAAATATTCTTACGAAATGTACGCTTTTCTTCGGGCATTTCAAAGAGATTATTCCAATATGAATGGGCACCTATTATAAAAGGAAATAATAAGTAAACGAAATTAAATTAGTAAAACATTAAATGAAAAAGAACAGAAAACAAAAATATATTTTATGGGCATATTCGACCAACTAAATTATTCAATTCATTTATTTTGGTCGAAAAATAATAATATATTTTGACAGTAAACAATAATATCAGCCGATAGTCCCGAACAGCTTATCTGCCTTTAAAATGACAATTAATATATTTTGATTGAACAATAATAATGTATTTTGACAGCAAACAAGAATACCAGCTGATGGTCCTGAACAGCTGATCTGCCTTTAAAAACCTACACTTCATTAAACGCACTTTATCGCTTTTTGATTTAGGTTAATAGTCTATGCGCGCTTTAATGCTCTATACATCGAGAAGAACTTACGAAATACAAATTAAATCTACTGGATTTATATGTAGGATTAAAAGAACGTTTAGACTATGGCTTCTAAAATTATAAACATTTCACAGTCAGCTGTTATTTTACTTCGGTGCAGGCTCATCCTCCTGTAGAGGTGAAGATGGAAACCTGGTGACAGATACAGATAGCGCGCTGAGGATCTGGAAGGATAATTTTGCAAAGCTTCTGGTATTAAAGAGTGGCGGTATAGAGTGTATATAAGAGGTGACGGTATAGAGCGTACATCACCTAACCAAGATGAGTTCAGAGAAGCAATTAATCGGCTGAAGAAAAATAAAGCAGCAGGTGACGATGAATTACCAGCCGAACTATTCAAGACGGGTGGTCAGATGCTGGTCTGGAGCCTGCACCAGCTCATTTGAACAATTTGGGTAGAGGAATGCATGCCCAATGCGCAAAAGGAAAGACAGGACGATATATGCAAACTATAGATTCCTGCAAAATTAATACGGGTATGCAGAATAATTTTAAGTGGCACAATATCAGCAGTTAAAGTCGGAAAGGTCCTCTAGGAGCCCTTTAATACCGAACGAGGATTCAGACAAGGTGACAGTTTGTCGTGGGACCTGTTTATCATCCTGAAAAGGTCATACGAGATGCAAATGTAAACAGAAAATGTACTCTGTACTCTGTTTGTCACCGACATCGACATAATGGTCCGAACATTGCGAGCGGCAACAGCCACCTTTGATTGAATTGAGAAGGAGTCTGCCAAAGTGGAACTGGCGAGAAGACCAAGCTGATTATATCAACGCGCAAGTGGTCCAGTAGACTCGGACCAACTGTGGAACTTGAAAAATACAACTTGAATACAGTTAGTGAACGATTTTATAGCCAAGTGAAAGGGGAAGGAAAGATCAAGTAGAAGACAACATCTCGGAAAATGGTCTTTCAAATTGGATGAGATGCGCCCAAGATCGACGCGCTTTTTATTGAAATTATGAAAAAAAAAATGGAACTTACTTGCCGCCTGGGCCTTTTGGCTGATGTGAAAACAATCCTCTGACGTATAGGTGGTATCAGCATTGCCGTTCGCCAAGGTTGGCAACCTATATTGATTTGTATAATGTTCAATATTGATGGTGAAGGTCTGGAATAAAAAAAGAATTTTTTTTATTCTTCAAGGCATTTTAATAAGGTCCACTCAAGATCAATTAATAAGGTCACACAGTTAGCGAAAGTCAGATGTTTTAAAAAATCGAACCGAACCAACTGCAATTAGGTATAACACTCTACTAACTAATATTGACACGTTAGCAGGAGATATTGATCGACTAGATACGACTGTGGTACAGGCACTATATAGAAACGTTGGTGAAGGACGCACCCGATGAAGTGAAATACGATCGGGATCGCTGGGTGGAGATATTGGAGAAGAAATCCAATATGGCAGGAGGGTTTATGCCAGCCCAAGAGCAAATTGGCAGCCTTCAATCGGTAAAACTCAGCACTGCGAAGTTTGTGTCCAAGATGTTTAAGGAATGCTATGAGGAAGCATTGGAGGAGAAAAGTCGTGACATGGCTGAGTTACGGGCAAGGAGCTATAAGTTACTCTAAAAATATCGGAAGACGTCAATGGTTGCCTAAAATGAAAGTTGCAGGAAAGTTGAACGCCTCGATTGGAATATCAAGTTCACAAATATTAAGTTCACAAAGCCCAGGCAGCAGCAAAATCGTGGGAAGAAAAGAAAAGGAAACTTTTGAAAGAACTGAATCTTTTTAAGAAGACCGGTCGATCAGCAGAGGCCGAAGCCGAAGACAAGCTGGCCAAGCAAGTGGTCGCCAATGCCTCAGTCATTATAGCAGCGAACCACACCTCGAAATCCTGTAGAGTATAGATAAAAAAGCTGTCTGTAGAATTGACACTTTCGAAGAAGGCACGAGAAATAGGAGAGGCGGAACGTAATAAGTTGGCCAGGTTTGAGGTCGCCAATGCCAGTAAGGAGCGGCAAGTGGTAAGTAATATTCCATTTGCGCAGATAAGAAAAGCCGGCGGACAATGGCGATTTTGGGCCGAAAAGCAGAAGCCGTTAAATATGGATATTCCTGCCAGGAAGATCAAACGGGTTTATATAAATCCTGGAAATGCGGCCGGGAAGTTGGAGCCTATGGACAAAGAAGAGCACTCAAAGGAAGATTTTTTCCCAATAAGAATTTAGAAGGAATTGTGCAGACAAAAGCAGAGGGTTTGGCCAATAAGGTGAACCCCTAGGGATAAAGGTTGTATGATAAAGAAGCCTGGAAATGCGGTCTGGAAGTTGAATGTGGAGGTCACGGTTGGTAAGCAGAAAAAGGTGAATGGCGTGGCCATTAAGACGAAGGCAATAGCCGAAGATTCTGAGCCGCCAAGAAGAAGTGGTTACACTGCCACTATGAAGAGGTTTGTGGATGTGCCGCCCCAGGAAAATTAAGATGCGGATCAAACGTACGGAGCACCTAATGGAAGATACAACCGGTGAAAAGCTGAAGAAGAGGATTGGCAATTGAATGTAGAAGGAATTGAGCAGACAAAAACAGAGGGTTTGGTCAATAAGGTGAACCCCAGGGATAAAGGTTGTATGATAAAGAAGCCTGGAAATGCGGTCTGGAAGTTGAAAGTGGTGGACACGGTGGGTAAGCAGAAAAATGTGAATGGCGTGGCCATTAAGATGAAGACAGCAGCCGAAGATTCAGAGCCGCGAAGAAAAAGTGGTTACACTGCCACTATGAAGAGGTTTGAGGATGTGCCACCCTGGAACATGAAGATGCGGATCAAACGTACGGAGCAGCTGAAGAAGAGGATTGCCAATTGTTCAGTCTTAAATAAGAAATGTGTCCAGCCTTAAATATGGTTCAGGATAAAAGAAGAAGCCAGCAGACAAAGGTGTAGGTGCCAATAGGAGAAGTTGGTTAGAGAGTCGGCGGTGGTACCTAGATGCGATCATGTAGCAGTTTCTTTATGATTAAATTCCTTTTTGGGTGACCTTATAAGTAGACCTTGATGTGCATTATCTCTATTTACTCACCTCTGTATTAAATTCCTCTCTCCGCGCCACTTCAATATCCCTTTGAGCCCATTTGTCCATAAATATACCCATAAATCGTTGATATTTTGCCGATTTTCCAAATATACAGGGGCACTCAAACGTCAACATTATTTGACATTGTGCGGGTATTTGTTTTTGTTTTGTCAAAAGTAAAAGATTCGGCGCTGGAGCAACATTTAACATTAATCGCGGTACATTATCACGTAAATAACGGTAGGTTTTCAACATATTCCTCTCATGATCATCAATGGCTTTCATGGGATCCGGCATGTAGCAGACCTCCGAACAATAATCGTTATTACCCACCATTAGGGTAAGCAATTTCCAATGATGTGTCATATTGACATCGGGATCGTTGAGTAGGCGTTTTACCAAGACCTTGGCCATATAGGGCATATCACGGGACATGGCGCCCAATTCGGCCACGTTGAATCTAGAGGAAAAGTAAGTTTTCGATTACAAAATGTGAAAACCAAATTTCTCTCTTCACTTACCTTGAATCCCTCTCGGCGGTAATGGCATCCCCTAGGGCATAACCATACAACTTCGGATTATATTCTTTGAGTAAATTTGGCAATGTCAAATATTCCCGCCACGTGCCTTGACCACCAATTGACCATGAAGCTCCACGATTTTCATGGACCAAATGCAGCAGATTTGTACCCAATATACCATTTCCGGCGGTCAAAGAATCACCCATAGCAGCAACAATATCAATATCTCCCGGTCTTAAACGGTGAACTGATTTTGGTGGCTCAGCGCTACGTTTTCCCGCACCATTGATGTCACAAAATTCGCTAGTGGTCTTGGCTAATTTATCCGTTAATTGGGTTCGCTATAGAACATAAAAAATAAGAAGATATTTTCGGTATATTTTGAAATTTTGTATAGCTAATAGATTCGGCATACGAACACCTTTCCTTCGTAGCAGATTTAAATTCGCCGCACTTTTACCACTTCGCCCCATGGTATTTAGAAGATTTAAACGGTATTGCCTAAAGTACAATCCCAGGGCTGTATCCAAAACGGTGCGTTGTGAATGGACTTCATTGCCGGTATATATTGTTAGGAGCAGAGGTAGGAGAATTTTCTTTGGGAGCATATCTGCTGCTTATAACTGAAATGAAAAATGAATAGGAATAAGGAAAAAGTCAATTCAGCTAACTTTGTCATCATAAAAGTTCAATTCAGCAAACATTTAGTATGAATAAAGTAATTTTTGCAAACGTATTCTCTAGGAAAAGTAAATTCAGCTAACGTTTTCCTTATAAAAATCCATTTCAGCAAGCATTTTCGATGGGAAAATGCAATTTTGCAAACATATTCCTTAGAAAAAAGTCAATTCAGCAAAAATGTTCCTTAAAACCAGTAAGGAAAGTAGTAAAGTCGGACGGGGCCGACTATATGATACCCTTCACCACTATGGGTATATTAAACAGGACTATTAACATGTAATTGGATGAAAAAAAGTAATATTTATCTAAATGTGAATCTACCTAGATCTATCCATAAAGTATGTTAATTGACTTCAAACAAATATAAATAAGTCCGTTGGGCTATGTCTGTACTTCTAGAAAACGCAACTACGTAATTGTATGCTCAATTTTGTGCGTTGTGCACAATTTGATGTCAATCTGACTAACATGAGGAGTCTGATGCCCAATTTACTTGAAATCGGTCGAAAATATATATGGAAGCTCTATCCAAATATTAAGCGATTTCAAACAAACTTGTCACAGGTTAGGTTATACTAATTTCAGAACGTTTTGTTTCTATTGGTTCCTTAGTACGTCAATTACTTAAAATCAATCTATAATAAAAGGGAGCTATATCTAAATCTGGACCGATTTTCACGAAACTTAGCATCATTTTAGGCTCAATTCAGTACGTTATGACAAATTTCGTGCAAATCGAAAGTTATATAGGGACTTTGGGGCACCATTTACATGAAATCGTACGAAACTATATGTGGGAGCTATATCTAAATCTGGGCCGATTTTCTCGAAACTTGGTAGACATCATTCTAGGCTCAATTCAGTGCGTTATGCCAAATTTCGTGCAAATCGAAAGTTATATAGGGACTTTGAGGCACCATTTACATGAAATCGGACGAAACTATATATGGGAGCTATATCTAAATCTGGACCGATTTTCTCCAAACTTGGCAGACATCACTCTAGGCTTAATTCAGTACGTTATGCCAAATTTCGTGCAAATCAAAATATATATAGGGACTTTGGGGCACCATTTACATGAAATCGTACGAAACTATATATGGGAGCTATATCTAAATCTGGACCGATTTTCTCGAAACTTGGTAGACATCATTCCAGGCTCAATTCAGTACGTTATGCCAAATTTCGTGCAAATCGAAAGTTATATAGGGACTTTGAGGCACCATTTACATGAAATCGGACGAAACTATATATGGGAGCTATATCTAAATTTGGACCGATTTTCTCCAAACTTGGCAGACATCACTCTAGGCTTAATTCAGTACGTTATGCCAAATTTCGTGCAAATCGAAAGTTATATAGGGACTTTGAGGCACCATTTACATGAAATCGGACGAAACTATATATGGGAGCTATATCTAAATCTGGACCGATTTTCTCCAAACTTGGCAGACATCACTCTAGGCTTGATTCAGTACGTTATGCCAAATTTCGTGCAAATCAAAAGATATATACGGACTTTGGGGCACCATTTACATGAAATCGTACGAAACTATATATGGGAGCTAAATCTAAATCTGGACCGATTTTCTCCAAACTTGGTAGACATCATTCTAAGCTCAATTCAGTACGTTATGCCAAATTTCGCGCAAATCGAAAGGTATATAGGGACTTTGGGGCACCTTTTACATGAAATCGGACGAAACTATATATGGGAGCTATATCTAAATCTGGACCGATTTTCTCCAAACTTGGCAGACATCACTCTAGGCTTAATTCAGTACGTTATACCAAATTTCGTGCAAATCAAAAGATATATAGGAACTTTGGGGCACCATATACATGAAATCGGACGAAACTATATATGGGAGCTATATCTAAATCTGGACCGATTTTCACGAAACTTGGCAGACATCATTCTAGACCTAAATGATTAAGCTGTACCAAATTTCGTGCAAATCGAAAGATATATAGGGGCCGTTTACATTAAATCGGTTAAATATATATATGGGAGCTATATCTAAATCTGAACCGATTTTTCCCAATTTCAATAGGGTTCGTCCTTGGGCCGAATAAGTGACCTATACCAAATTTCATTCAATTCGGATCATAAATGCGACCTGTACTTTGTTTACAATTTAACATGGACAGACAGACAGACGGACAGACGGACGGACGGACGGACGGACATGCATAAATCGACTTAGAAAGTGATTCTATGCATATTCTCAAAAGGAACCATGTGTCTATCTCGTTTCCTTTTGCCTGTTACAAACATATGCACAAAGACATAATACCCTGTACCACAGTGTGGTGAAGGGTATAAATAGTCAATTTAGCAAACATTTTCCTTACAAAAAGTTAATTCAGCTAACTTTTTCATCATAGAAGTTCAATTCAGCAAACATTTACTACAAAAAAAGTCATTTTTGCCAACGTATTCTCTAGGAAATGTAAATTCAGCTAACGTTTTCCTTATAAAAATCCAATTCAGCTAACATTTTTGATGGAAAAAAGTAATTTTGCAAACGTATTCCTTAAAAAAAGTCAATTCAGCAAACATTTTCTTACCAAAAGTTAATTTAGCGGAATTATTTCACTGAAAAGTAAACATTTTCTATAAAAAAGTATTTTTTGCAAAAGTAAATTCAGCTAACGTAGTCCTTATAAAAATGATATTCAGCAAACATTTTCGATAGAAAAAGGCAATTTTGCAAACGCATTCCTTGCAAAAAAATAAATTCAGCAAACATTTTACTTACAAAAAGTTAATTCTGCGGACAACCTTGCAGATCTAACAATCAATTAAAAATAATTATTCATTTATATTTCCTATTGCATTCCGAATGTTAATTTCTCGCATTGCGTTCCATTGACGTAATGTGTATTCACGTGATCGGAACACGTGATCTTAAAGGTTACCTATAAATGGTATTAACAATCTAAATGAAGCGTTTTATTAAACCAAGTTTGGTTTAATAAACTCGCGACCCTGAGATTAAGAATCTTATGTTCTACCGACTCAACTGACAGGGCGCCACAGCAGGTGAGTAAGGCGCCCAACATAAGATCCGAACCCATGCATGACTCTGAAATTATGAATCTCCAGCAGGGCTGTTAGCCGTAGTGCCACATTTGGTGAAGAAGACGCCCAACGTGAGGCCCGCACCAATGCATGACCCTGAGATGATGACTCTCTAGCTGTACAGACTGAGCTAGCCGAGCCTTTACCATATCGTCACAGAAGGTAAAACGTGACAATATGGCGCCCAACGTGGAGCCCAAACCCGCGACCTACAGATTAAGAGTGTTAAACTCTACCGTCTAAGCTAGCCGTTAAGCACCATTAGGAAGAAAATGACAATATGGCGCCCAACGTCGGACCCAAACCCGCTACCCTGAGATTAAGAGTCACAAACTCGCGACCCTGAGATTAAGAGTCTTATGTTCTACCAACTGAGCTGGCAGGGCTGTTAACCGTAGTGCCACAGTAGGTGAAAAAGGCGCCCAACGTGAGGCCCGAACCCAAGCATGACTCTGAGATGATGACTCTCCAGTTCTACAGACCGAGCTAGCCGATCCTTTACCATATCGTCACAGTAGGTAAAACTTGACAATAAGAGTCTCAAACTCTACAATCTAAGCTGGCCGATCTGGTATGCATAACGCCACACCATAGGTAGAAAGTGACAATATGGCGCCCAACGTCGGACCCAAACACGCTACCCTAAGATTAAGAGTCACAAACACTACGGGCTATGCTAGCTGGACTGTTAACATCATTCCCAAACCTGCGACCCTCATAACTATAGCACCAGATTAAGTAGAACGTAACAATATGGCGCCCAACGTAGGACCCAAACCCGCGACCCTCAGATTAAGAGTTTCAAACTCTACCGAAAAAGCTAGCCGTACTGTTAAACATAGCGCCACATATATGGAACACAATAATATGGCGCCCAACGTGGGATCCGTACCCACGTCCTTAAAATTAAGAGTCTCAATCTCTACCGACTAAGCTAGCCGCGATGTTAACCAAAGCGCCACAGAAGATGGAACATAAGAACATGGCACCCAACGTGGGATCCGAACCCACGACCCTGAGATTAAGAATCTCAAACTCTACCGACAAAGCGGCACAGAAGATGGAACATTAGAACTTAGCACCCAACATGGGATCCGAACCCACTAGCCGGATTGTTAAACATAGATGGAATATAACGACATGCCGCCCAACGTCGAGTTCGAACCTACGACCCTAGATCATGAGTTTTAAAATCTGCCGACTAAGCAAGCCGGACTGTTGACCATTGAACCAAAGTAAATGGAACAAAACAACATGGCGGCCAACGGGGAACCCGATCCCTAAGATTAAGAGTTTCAAACTCTACCGAAACATGAACTCTCTGAAACATGACAATATGGCGTCCAACGACGGGCCCAAATCCATGACGCTGAAATTAAGAGTCTCAAACTCTACTAGATCATAGCGCCACAGTAGGTGGCGCCCAATGGTTATAAAAATATTGAGAATCTCCCCGAAGATGGCTACTGAGCAACTTGACGATGGAAACGTGAACGGTTTTCAAATTAAATGTTACAAAAATTATAAAATTAGCAGGAACGAAGCTATTAATTTTTTTATCGACGGTTTTCTTTGCACTTTGGTACTTTTAATATCCTAAGGTCGAAGTTGAAGGTACTTTGCGTATGATTTCAGAAGTTTAACGCATTATTTAGTCAAAATTTAACTTAATTTTGATAACCATTTTAATACATTTTTTTTCTTAATTTTTTTTTTTTTTTAAATCAAATATTTTGTTCCTTTAAAACTTTGACTCACTTTTTTTAAATATTTTAAAAAATTATTTATTCCTTTTTACCCGATCCGTTCGAATTTACTTTCGATTCCTCGCACTATATCCGCTCAACAACTAACAGCTAACTAACGGCTAGAATACTTCCAATCATTTCAATCATCAAGTCATCTAAAATAGCTTGTAATTAATTACAACAACAACAAAAAGCAACAACAGAAAACCCACTTTTATTTTCAATAAAAACTTCATTGATTTAAACAATTTCCACCTTTAGAAATGCATTTCATCAATTTACTACCTTCATTGCAATTGTTGTTGTTGTTGCTGCTGCTGTTTTCGTCATTGAAATTTATAATTATAATAAAGAGATTAAATTACAACGATCAACATTAATTAATTTACAGAGAGAGAGAGCGAGAAAAATACCGTATTGTATTACAGTAATGTATCGCCTACAGTTTGTCATGGAAATGTTTGCCATAATGGCCCTTCGGCTTCATTTTAGGGGGAAAATATTCTCCAGAGAATTTCGATGCAAGTCTCGGAATGAAAGAAATCTGAAACTTTAATACATTAGGGTGTAATTGGGGTTTGAAAAGTGGTTGTATATTTTTTTAGGTTAGTTGAGCACGCTTTCCTAAAACAGGTGAAATTTAGCCCCTAGAGATCAAGTTAGGTTGGTAGTATAAAAGGGAAAAATATTCTCCAGAGAATTTCGATACAAGTCTCGGAACAAAAGAAATCTGCAACTCTAATACATTAGGGTGTAATTGGGCATTAAAAATTGGTTGTATATTTTTAAGGTTAACTGAGCACATTTTCCTAAAACGTGTGAAATTTACCCCTAAACTTCATGTTAGGTTGGTGGTATAAAAGGAAAAAATATTCTCCAAAGAATTTCGATATGAGCCTCGAAACAAAAAAAATCTGCAACTTTAATATATTAGGGTGTTATTGGGTTTGAAAATTGTGAATATAATTTTTTAGGTTAATTCTAAATTCTACCTCTAAACTTCATGTTAGAATAGTGGTGTAAAAGGGAAAAATATTCTCCATAGAATTTCGATTTAAGTCTCTGAACAAAAGAAATCTGCAACTTTATTACATTAGGGTGTAATTGGGTTTTAATTATTGGTTGTATCATTTTTTATGCTACATGAGCACACTTTCCTATAACGAAAGAAATTTACCCCTTAGACTTCAAGTTAGGTTGGTGGTATAAAAGGGAAAAATATTCTCCAGAGAATTTCGATTTAAGTCTCTGAACAAAAGAAATATGCAACTGTAATACATTAGGGTGTAATTGAGGTTTGAAAATTGTTAATATAATTTTTATAGGTTACTTTAGCACACTTTCCTAAAACAGGTGAAATTTACCCTTAGACTTCAAGTTAGGATGGTGGTATAAAAGGGAAAAATATTCTCCAGAGAATTTCGATATAAGTCCCCGAACAAAAGAAATCTGCAACATTAATACATTAAGGTGTAATTGATGTTTGAAAATTCGCAATATCATTTTTTAGGTTAGTTGAACACACTTTCCTATAACGAGTGAAATTTACCCGCTTTACTTCAAGTTAGGTCAGAGGTATAAAAGGGAAAAAATATTCTCCAGAGAACTTCGATACGAGTCTCCGAACAATAGAAATCTGAATCTATAATATTTTAGGGTGCAATTGAGGTTTGAACATTTTCTTTATAATTTTTAATATTAGTTGAGTACATATTTTTAAATCGAATGCAATATAGCCCCTGTATTTCAAGTTAGGGTAGTGGTGTAAAATATTCTCCAGAGAATTTCGATATAAGTCCCGGAACAAAAGAAATTTGCAACTTTAATACTTTAGAGGGTAATTGAGTTTTGAAAATTGTCAATACCATTTTAAGGGATAGTTGAGCACACTTTCCTAAAACAGGTGAAATTCTACCTCTAAACTTCATGTTAGGGTGGTGGAGTAAAAGGGAAAAATATTCTCCAGAGAATTTCGATACGAGTCTCCGAACAATAGAAATCTGAATCTATAATATTTTAGGGAGTAATTGGGTTTTGAAAATTGGTTGTATCATTTTTAGGTTAGTTGACAATATACATATTTGGGTTATTTTGCACGTTTCTATAAACTAAAATTGAGACCCTAGACTTCATGATAGGGTAGGGGTTTTAGTGGAGAAAATATTCTCCATTTAATTTCAATAGGAGCCTCTGAACAAATGAATTCTGTAACTATAATACATTAGGATCTATTGGAGGTTTTATACTTGTATCTACATTTTTTAGGTTATTTTTCCAACTTCCCTAAAACGGATCAAATCTAACCCCTAGACTAGAAGTTAGGGTAATGGTGTTAAAGGGAAAAATACTCTCCATTAAATATCGATATAGACCTCTGTAGAAATGAAATATGTAATTATAATACATTAGGATCTATTGGGGGTTTGAAAATTATCTTTTTGAAAATCAGTGAAATTCACATCCTAGACTTCAACATAGGGGAATGATAATAATGGGAAACATTTTCTCCACTGAATTTTACTATTAGTCCCTGAACAACCGAAATTTGTGGCTGTAATACATTATGATTTATTGGCGGTTTTAAAATTGTCCTTACAATTTGTTAGGTTATTTTGCACAATCTTCTAAAACGGGTGAAATTTAACCCCTAGACTTGAAGTTAGGGCAATGATGTTAAGGGGGAAAATACTCTGCATTGAATTTCGATATGGATCTCTGAAGAAATGAATTCTGTACCTATAATACATTACGATCTATTGGCGGTTTTAAAATAGTCACTAAAATTTTTTAGGTTATTTTTCATACTTTTCTGAATCGGGTAAAATTTAACCTCTAGACTTCAAGTTAGGGTAGCGGTGTTAATGGAGAAAATATTCGTCATTGAATTTCGATATGAACCTCTGAAGAAATGAATTCGGTATCTATAATACATTAGGATCTATTGGAGGTTTTAAATTGTATTTAAAAATTTTTTGGTTATTTTTCACACTTTTCTCGAACGGTTGAAATTGACACCATAGACTTCAAGTTAGGGTGGTGGTGTTAATGAAGAAAATATTCTTCATTGCATTTCTGTATGGACCTCTGAACAAATGAAATTAGTAACTAAATTACAGTAGGATCTATTGGGGGGTTTGAAAATAATAGCTTAAATTTTATAGGTTTTGTGGCACTCTTTCTGAAAAACAGTGAAAATTACCACCTGTACTTCAAGTTAGGGGAATGATAGTAAAGAGGAACATTTTCTCCATTAAATTTTACTATAAGTCTCTGAACAACCGAAATTTGTGGCTATAATACATTAGGATCTATTGGAGGTTTTAAAATTGTCACAATAATTTTTTTAGGTTATATTCTACAATTTCCTAAATCGCGTGAAAATTACTTTTTAAACCTCAAGTTAGGACAGAGATGTTAAAGGAAAAAATATTCTACATTAAATTTCACTATAACAAATCAAATCTGTAACTATAATGTATTGGGATCTATTTGGGTTTTGAAAATTATCATTAGAAATTTTTAGGTTATGTTGAACATGTTATTAAAAAGAGTGATTTTTACCCTCTAGACTTCAAAATAGGGCAGTGGTCTTAAAGGGAAAAATATTCTCCATTAAATTTCGCTATAAGTCTCTGAACAAATCAAATCTGTAATTATAATACATTAGGGTGTATTCTGACTAAACAAAATTATATTTTTTTACAAAGTGGAAAGAAAGGAATTTCTTCATATTATTTGAATCTTAAATATTTAATATACTTTTTTTGAAAACATTTGTTTGTCCTATTTTGTTTTATTAATGCATAATATACAAAATTACATGTCAATAATATTAATACAATTTTTTTTCAATTAAAAAAAATCTATAACAAATAAACAATTACAACCAATTACATACATTTATAGTAATTAATTACTCAATATTATTGCCTAAATAAATTTTCCATTAAAAAAAAATAATAATAATAAACAATTATCTAAGAGATTGCTCCTTGTTCTCTAATTTACAAAAATTCTAACACCACTCTTTGTGAGTGTGTGTTTTTTCCCCTTTTTCATTACAATTTAATATTTGCAATTTCTTGTGACAAACGCTGTGTCTTTGCTGCGGCTGCATCCTCATCCAAAATCCTTTCAAAATCGATAACAATTTTCTTTTGCCTCGGCACATAGCGTACACATTCTATACTCGCCTTGGCAAACATTAACCTCGATGCACGATATATTGGCTTATCAGCATACTTGTCAGATATATAATACACCTTGGTAATACCCGATTGTACTATTAACTTCGCACATTCGTTGCAGGGAAAAAGGGTGGTAAAAATCCGCGTACCCTTCAAATTGGCACAATTTTTATTTAATATTGCATTAGCCTCGGCATGGACGACAAACATTTTTTTATCCTGCATAGGATCAAGTTGTTGATCCTCTTCGAGCAATTCTTCAATTTCCGATGCTTTATACCAGGGGAATTCATCATCTTCACAACGGCTGGGGAACCCGTTATAGCCAATGGCCACAATCCTATTATCTTCGTTAACGATAACCGCTCCCACCTGCGTCACTGGATCTTTACTGCGCTGTGACGAGAGCACCGCAGTGGCCATAAAATAATCTTCCCAATAGAGATAATCTTGTCGTTTGCAATTTATTAAAGGGGTTAGTTTTAAGGGTGATTTCGTCGATGTTGTTAAGCCGTTTTGGGACATTTTGTTGATCCTATTTGAACTAGAAAGAGTAGAACAAAATTAATAAAAAAATTAATTTTTAAAAATATAAAAATATTTTCTCAAGGCTTGGATTTTTTTAAAAATATTTTTGCAAGGCGTGGATTTTTTTAAAAATTGCATTTAAAAAAAATTTATTTTTTCAAGGCGTGGATTTTTTAAAAATATTTTTCAAGGCATGGATTGTTTAAAAATATTTTTTCAAGGCGTGGATTTTTTAATAATATTTTTTCAAAGCGTGGATTTTTAAAAAAATATTTTTGTCAAGGCGTGAATTTGTTTGGAAATATTTTTTCAAGGCATGTATTTTTTAAAAATATTTTTTAAGGTGTGTATTTCTTTAAAATATTTTTTAAGGCGTGTATTTCTTTAACATATTTTTCAAGGCGTGGATTTTAAAAAAATATTTTTTCAAGGCGTGGATTTTTAAAAAAAATTTTTTCAAGGCGTGGATTTTAAAAAAAATATTTTTTCAAGGCTTGGATTTTTTAAAAATATTTTTTTAAGGCGTGGATTTTTTTTTAATAAAATTAAAAAAAATTAAATATATTTTTTTCAGGCATGAATTTTTTTAAATATCCTTCTAGTCTATAGGTCCCAGACACAGAACAGATGACCATCCACGATATTTAGTCTTTAATTAATAATCCTGCAGGGCAACTAGCCTTGAATAAGGCATTTAATCTAGAATAGACAGTCCTCCATGGTATCCATATGACCCTCCGGGGCACTTAGCAATTAATAGATGACGTAGTCTAGAATGTATGATCCTCCAGGGGATTAGCTTAGAATTTAGTTGTCCTCCTGGGCATCCACAGGTCATATAGGCTAGAATCAATTACCATCCAGGACATATATTCTACCAATGATGACCCTTCAGGGCTACTAGGTTTGAATAGATGGCCGCTGTCGCTCTCTTGGACATCTAACCCTTTGGGGAACATAGGCTAGAATCTACGGTCCTCCAGGGCACATAGGCTAGAATATATGGTCCTCCAGGACAGCCAGATGACCCTACAGGACATCTAGCCTAGAATATATTGTCCTGGAGGGCATCCAGATGATCCTCCAGGTCATATACATGGCCTCTGTTGCTCTCGAATGCATCTAATCTAGAATATATGGTCCTCCAGGACATTTAGCCCAAAATAGAAGTTTATCCGTGGTATCCATATGACCCTCAGGGGCACTTAACATAGAATGATGACCCTCCAGGGCACATAGTCTAGAAAATATGATCCTCCAGGGCATCCAGATGACCCTACAGGACACCTAGTATAGAACCATGAACATATATTCTACAATTGAAGACCATCCAGGGCAACTGGCTTTGAATAGATATCCCTAGAGGGTATCAATATGAGCCTCCAGGACATTTAGTCTAGAATTTATGACCCTCCTGAATAGGTGGTTCTCCAGAATACCTAACCTAGAATATAAGGTCATCTATGGTATCCGTATGACCTTCCAGGGCACCTAGCCTAAAATATATGATCCTTCAGGACATCCAGATGACCCTAGACTAAAGACTAAATACCCTAGTCTCGAATAGATTGTCCTCCAAGGCATCCAGATGACCCTACAGGACACCTAACCTAGAATAGATGACCCTGCAGGACATATATTCCACAATTGTTGACCCTCCAGGGCAACTAGCTTTGAATATATATCGCTACAGGGTATCAATATGAGTCTCCAGGGCATCGAGGCTAGAATTTATGACCCTCCAGGGCATCATGTCTAGACACGGGTGTGCCTCTAAAGCACCTAATCTAGAATATTCAAACATATAGGCTAGATTATATAGCCCTCAATACATCTATCCTAGAATATATAGCTATTTAGGGCACCTGGACTAAAAAAGCTGGCCCTCCAGGGACATCCATTATGCAACAAAGGGCCATCCAGTGCATCTAGTCCAGAATAGATACACCTAAGAGCCTTTGTTATCTCCAAAAATCATTTAATGATTGTTTTGAAAAAAAAAATAATTCAAAATCTTTTGTTTATATATTTAAATACAATTTCTTTTATATATTTCTTTTTTTAGTTATTCATTATTTGAATATAATTGTTATTATTATTATTGTAATTTCGTTAATAAATCTACAACATAATATATTTTGTTTGTGTGTGTATTTGTTTTCATATATAATTTTTGTAACATAGAATATATATTTTTAGTTTTAAATGGAATTGTTGTTTGAAAATAAACATTATTTTAAAAAATAATAATAATAGAGAAGAGATAATTTTTTTAATAAAAAAAACATAGGTGTTTGTGAATACTCTACTAACAACAAAAAGCATAGACAAAACTGATTTCTGATTTTTCAAAACCTAATTATCAAATTAGGGGGAGGATGTGTAATCAGTTTGCTGCCTTCGTTCGTATGTTTGTTGTTGTTGCTGTTGTTTTATGCCTTCTGGGCAGCCTTAACAGGTATGGGATTTTGTTTCAAATGTAAATAAATGGAACGCATGCGTGACACATCTTTGCCGGACTTATTAACTTTGGGATTGAAATCACACAGCTTGGCAATGCGTTCCCATTCGGTGCCCGGTTCCATGGCTCCACCATTTTCCAAGGCAGCCGCTTGTTTTTCGGCATTGCGAGCGGCGGCTTTTGTTTTGGCAATTGACTCCTCGGTTTGTCGCAACCAATCTTCCAACTCCTTTTTGGCCTGCTGACGCAATTCCTCCTTTTTACGTTCCTCTTCACGATCTTTCTCTTCGAGCCGTTGCTGTTGTTCCTCACGCCACTTGCGGATTTTTTCCGGTTCAATACGGGATGGTGGTGGACCAGAAATCGGATTAATTTCATTGTTATCACCGCCGATCATTTCAAAGCTACCGGTGGAGGATTCAAGGCCACCACTGCCACCGCTACCGGCCAATTCGTTGATGTCACCACCCAAGAGGCCCGCATCATCGGAGACGGCAGCGGCTGTTTTAATGACATTAGCGGTGGTGCTGCCGCTGATTTCAGCTTCCAAATCGCCAAGAATTGCTTTTTCTTGGGCCAAAAATTCAGCAGCTGGATCAACTTCTTCACCTGCGGCTGAGGTGCTGGTGGGGGCGGCTACAAAATCATCACCAAAATCCATGGTTTCTGTTTTTTTTTATCAATTAGCAGGTTCAATTCACAGTTAGTTGTACGGGAGTTTGATGACACATCAGAAAGCAGTAACACACAGAAGAAGAAAATAATCGAAAAGAAAGAAAAGAAGATAACATTTTTTGGGGGGCGTTAAAAATGCATTTTGTTTGATATTTCCACTATTTTCTTACCTTTTATGTGTGTGTGTGTTACAACAAAAACAATTTTATATTAATTAATTTAATTATTTTTCTTCTATTTTCCTTAATTTATTAACGTTTTCACTTTGTTTTTCTGCAGTCAAAGATTTTTTTCGTGTTAATGGTACATTCTCTTGTTGTCACTCTTTCTATCTCTCTCCCTCTCTCGCTGTCATTAGAGATAACACTGAGAGGTAACAGTTACTCGAGTAGTCGAGTAATTGACAACAAGCAAATACAACCCTGTGGTGTAAAGACGCACAAGATAAAAAAAACAAAAGGAATATTTTTTTAATTATAGAAACATATATAATAAAATATTATTATATATATATACATGTATACAAACAATTTCCTATTTGTATGCCAATGGCTTAGGCAACCAATGACTATGGTGTAATGACGACCGGTAACAAAAACGCCCTTTGGCAGCACAAACCGTATGTGTGAACCGCCCTCACTCTCTCTCACATCTAGCAAACACACACACAGAGAGAACATGTGGCCGAAAACACAAACAACAACACTAATTTTTGTTCATATTTTAGCATGTTTCGCATTAAACATAATTGTTGTTATTCTTTTTTTACTTCATTTGTTTTTGCACAATCAGGCCCACTATAATAAATTAGAATTTTATACACAATATTTACTTACATATATTTATTTAATATTAAAAAAACAAATGAACTGTCTCTCTTGTTTTTTCTTAGCTATTATTTTTTTCTTTTGGTCAGTTATTAATCAATAAAATACAAAATATTAGCACAACCCGTAGAACCGAAAGTATAAGGAAAAAATTGCAATGACGTATTGTGATGTTTTGTTTTTGGCGCCAAAACAACAATAGCAATGGGGTTCACATTGTATGCGTGTGGATTAGGTTATGGTTCACATGTTGGCTTATGTTTAGGTTAGGAGGCGATTTTTTGATTTTTTTTTGAAATTTTTACCACAGTTTTAGATCTCAACTCCTTGATTACGAAAATGTAAACATTAAATAGACATCTCCTGGCTTTGATCGTCTGAAGTTCAAAAAATTGATGTATGAAAATAAGTTAATTTAATATAATGTTCCACCTGTTCGTTTATCATAAAATTTGGTACTGCGAAAAATAATATAACAGTGTAATAGGTGTGTTCGTTTAATTTTTCGGAATAATAAAATCGATTATTATATTTGTCAAAAAAAATTAATTTTATTTAAAAACAAAATCTCAGAAACCTAAATTATCTTTTTCAAAAATATTGGAGGCCCATATCTCTAAAAGTATTATCCGCGGACCCTATATTTGACATACCAAATTAAAACAAAACCAATAAGAGATGACGGTATAGAGTGTATACAATACCAATATGAGGTCAGATTAGCAATCAATCGGCTGAAGAATAATAAAGCAGCAAGTGCTGATGGGTTACCAGCCGAACTATTCAAGTGGTGGTCTGATGGTGGTCAGGAGCATGTACCAGCTGATTAGTACAATTTGGCGAGAGGAATGCATATAAAGTGCTATCCAGCGTGTTGTGTGAACGACTGAAGCCAATGGTCAATGACATTATTGGACCATACCATACAAATGCGGTTTCAGGCCTGGCAAATCCACCATTTACCAGATTTTCACTCTGCGCTAGGTCTTGGAAAAGACCCACACATCGATTAGTCGACTATTAATTCGTATTCGACAGCCCTATCCATTCTGAGGCGCTTAAAGATGGCTTTAGATGGCTTCTTTTAATAGGGCGTGAGCCAGGTAGGAAAGGAGTTAATAAGGAAAAAAGCTATGTCTGCGTTCGGCATTCCTGTAAATCATGCATAGCTTAAACTTAAAGTGACACAAGGTCAGCAGTTATAGTCGAAAAGGACCTCACGGAGCCCTTTCAATACCGAACGAGGATTCAGACAAGGTGACAGCTTGCCGTGTGACCTGTTTAACATCCTGCTGGAAAAGGTCATACGAGAGGCAAATGTGAACACAAATGACACTCTGTATCCAAACAACACATGTTACTCTCCTACGCCGATGACATCGACATAACGGGTCGAACATTACGAGAGGTAACAGCCACCTTTGAACAAATTAAGAAGTAGTTTGCCAATGTGGTTCTGGCAATAAATGACGAGAAGACCAAACTGACGTCTTGCACGTTGTAGCTTTAGCCGCTTCGTCTGGGAGTTGATGTCAGTCAATCACTTTACTCTTTTATTAGTATAGATTGACATTTTGAGTACGGGAACATACCCTATATTACATATTTTTTTATTAATTATGTATTAATTGTTATGAATATATAAAAAAATATTCAATTTTCCCCATTGAATGTGTAATCTATATTTATTTTTCCTTTAATTTTGATTTTTTATTTTCTATATATTTAAATAGTTTTAACATTTTGGTGCAGGAACAGACTCTATATTTGAATATTTTATAAATTTTTATTAATTATATATTAACTTTTATATATAAGATATATTCATTTTTCCCCACCCACACAAAATCAATTCGATATTTCTTCTCTTTCCTTAATTTTCTTTGGTTTTTCGATTAACATTCCATCATTAATCGATAGTCGACTTACAAATCCGTATATTTAATACATATGTTATGTATTTTTATTAATTCTATATTAAATTTTATTAAAATCTATAAAAATATTCATTTTTCCCCACCCACACACACATTCTCTTCGATATTTATTCTTTCCTTTGTCTTTCGATTACCATCATTAATCGATAGTCGACTTTGACATCCCTTTGGCACACACACATCTGGCAACACTCCCCTCAGTCAGTCACATCTAAAATGGCGCTGCTTTATGATGAGAAGAACGAAAACGAAGTAATATTTTTTTATATAAAATAACAACGAATTAACTAAAAAAATTTAATAAAACTTTATGCAAACGGTTAGTGTAAATAGTGCTGAACAGGAAACGGGTAAAATATTCATGCAAAAACATGAGTGAATGTTCAAATTTTTCATTGAAAAATAACAAATAATTAGTAGTGTCGAGAAGAAAAAAGTGTTCAGCGTGTGTGATTGATGTTGGAAGAGAAGAAGAGACGACAATTTACCAAGAACGCGATACACATACATACACACACAAACACCTTCCTATACACCGAGTGTGTGTGTGAGTGCGTGAAAAGAACCCCAAAATAACAAAAAAATAAAGAAAAATATATGAAACTGACGGCAAAAAATAAAAAAATAGAGGTGGACAATTACGCGAACCCAGAGAAACAGAGAAAACGTCAAAAAATTGAATAGTAGACGAAAGTAGCGAAAAAAGAAAAGAAAAATACAAAAAAATCAAAGACGGCACCACCGCACACAGGTTATTTTACTGGGGTGCAACAAAAACAGCAAGAAAGAACGAAAGAAAAACATTTATTTATTGTTTTTTGTGGATTGGATGTGCAGTTTAAGTTTGTTGCAAAGATTTCCTAGACCCGAGGCGGCGATTGGAGAATTGTTGGATAGTTGCAGCTAAGCCAAAGGGCTTTGCAAAGGTTGGTATCATGACATTTTTATGTAATTTGAAATATTAAAAAAAAAAAAACAAAAAACCCTAGTGGAGAGTAGAATTTTTGTTGTTGTTGAAGAAAATAATATTTTTGTTTTGTTGTTGTTTGCAGCAGCCAGCACCAGTACACCACCATTTGTGTGCCCACAAAACTGTGTGTGTGTGTCTGTCCGTGTGCCTCTGACTCACCATGGACCCCAATTCAAGCCCCTGGCCATATGCTTACAATCGTATAGTACCGGCTGGCGGCACCAGCGGTTCCGCCGATGACTTTCAACATCCCCATCTGGCCTCCAGTGCCCAATCCCTACTGCTACAGGCCCACACAAATATTGCCGCCAACATAGCAGCGGGTGGCGGCAGTTTTGTCTCCCCCTCACCGATCAGCGGCTATAATCCAGTTTTCCAACAAATCTATCATCATGCGGCCGCCGCCAGTGCTGTACAACCGAAACCTGCCCATTATGCCTCATCGGCTGTCAATACACCGCATCGACAATTGCAAATACCCGCCACATTGGATAAACAATTAACCTCATTCCAAAATCAGGCTGCCATAGCGGCTGTGTCCTCGGCAGCAGCAGCCGTTGTTAATAATGCAGCGGCGGCCACCAATTATTATGGGGAGAATTCATCGTCTAGCGGTGCTTCGCCATCACCCACAACGTCAACAATAACACCGACAACGTTAAGTTGGAATTCGCCAATGATATCGAATACCTTTTTGGCTATGCAACAACAGCAGCAGCAACAACAGGCACAGCAGCAGCAACAACAGCAAGCTCAGCAGCAGCAGCAACAACAACAGGCGCAGCAACAGGCTCAACAGCAAGCCGCCCAACAACAGGCCGCCCAGCAGCAGGCGGCTCAACAACAGGCCGCCCAACAGCAGCAGGCCCAACATCAGCAACAACAATTAAATTTAGCGGCGGCAGAAAAGGTGGTGAGTTAGTAGTATGTAGATTTGTATAATTAGAATCATAAGTCATACCTTATATGCATACTAGAGAGATAGATCGAGAGCGTGATCTGATCTCATCGATTTCATTATCATCATTTCCTCCATTTGTGTGTCGTCTTCTTTAGGGAATTTCACAACTATACCTTCTTTTAGGCCCTCTTGGACAATTTTCTTCCAAACACAAAACTCACCACAGAAATTTCTTCGAAACACAAAACTCACCACAGATTTTTTTTGGTTTGTTTTTATTTTATAATACAGTAAAATTTGCAATATTTTATTTACATTTCATAATCGGGCTTCGAGACTGAGCCTTTCACACGTGGATCATCCTTAAGGATGAACGGATCCCAAGTCAGAGACAGTGGGCTTTGCTGATTCTACTACTTTTCGAATCGAATCAGAGGTCTCCATAGAGATTTTTGATCGAGCTGTTTGTTTCGGGAGGGAGATTTTCTCCATCTCGAGCTCACGATGAACTTCCTTACGAATCTCATCTTACCCATGATGAGATGAACATACCTCTCCGAAAGCAAATTAGCATTTCATTCAACGAGCTTACGAAGATACGATACAGTACGTTTGTAGTGCTTCGCATTGGATGCTTCTCGGGCCGTTCCGACCTTTGAATCGTTGTCCGTCGTCGGACATCGCTGCAGTCGCGGTCTGCCTTTGAAGCTTATTGTCGGCAATTGCCGACACATGACCTGTTGGAGTCAGACAATCTACCCTTCCTTCGTTGATGCAACAATCCTCCTGTGTAGACTTGGCCAGAATCACCGTAGTTTCCAGCTTTTAGTAGCAGTTCCTCCGGATAAGGGTCCCATGTAGGTCGTTCCCTCCCAGAACTACAGTCCTGTCAATTTGAATCAGCCTTCTTCCATGGGAAAATGCCACATCTGCTCAATTTCAATTTATTGTGCAGGTTGAGGGACATATAATTCGGACCACTAACTAACCCAAAATTCTCGGGTTTACATTCGACAGAATTTTCAAATCGTTCGCGCAAATTACAGCTAGTTGCCATAAATTGAACAACTTGTTGACATCTTACAAAGTGATAGATTGTCTGTGGCCAGCTATGCGGTATCAGTAAGGTCTGCGAATACTAGTGTTAGGCAATGGAGAAGTATTCAGACCAATCAAAACACCGCTCTGCGAACTGCAACAGGGTGCCTTCACATATTATATGGTATGTAGAAGATTACCTATATATCATACAAGTCTTTTTGCCTTAGAAATTCTAAAATATTTACGAAATTTTATCGTTCTACAAAAACTGCAGAGATCTTCCATGACCTACACATTTCCTTTGGATTTCTTCTACGGTTCATAATTTTAAGCCATACAGATCTTTTTGAGTTCTCCATACAAGAATCTCTCACATATCTTCATTGAGAAATTGCAGACAAATCTTATATGATGATTTGAAATACTAGATGTGAATTAAAGAAAATCAATATGCTTCATTAATGGTTTGCGATCGACACAAAAACCTTTGATTACTTCCATAAAAATATTTGTTTGTGTTTTTGTATTGTTCATATAAAAACTATGATCTTCTGAGGCCATGCTTGTCAATGGTTCACACAGAACCACAAAATCACCTCTACAAACATTTGGAGATCTACTATTACAATTATAGGGCCTTCGAAGTACTATCGCTCTATACGACCAATAAAGATTATATATGATCCATATGATAAAAATAAATTAAAATCCTGCTGTAGCAAATGTAGGACTATTGAAGCCTTGTATGAGATTTGATACGGTTAAAGGACACATAGTACAACTTTGTGGACTTTATGTATGTCTTTGTCTTTTTTTTTTTGTATTACCCAATATCCTATCAGATCTCTTCGGTGTCCAATTAAAAGATTTTGGTGATCCTTCAGGTGCCATACAATACCATTGAAGGAATATATGATTCATTCAAGACTAAAAAAATATAAATAAAATACTTTTCTCAAGTCATATATGATTCATACAAGGTTGTTTATAAGACCCATACATTTGCAAATAATCCATTCATGATTTTATTAAACCTTGTATTAGGCTTGAGACAGAAGATTTCTTTCATAATTGACCATTCCATCGATCTCGTAGCCTTCCCATCTGCGTGAACCATCAGTTGGCTCGATTTTATATCCCTGCAGCTCGATACGTCTGACAATGTCGATGTCCGAGAATAGATGGTACAACTCATGGTAAATTCGATGGCGATATTCACCGACGACGCAGATCGTTTCGTAGATCTTTCTCTCAAACACTCAGATCCATACACCAGCACGGATGGTATCAGCGTCTTTTAGAGTGTGAGTACAACAAAATTTTTCTAGGATAAGCGGGCAAATTAGTGGGAAATGCTTATCCTTTTTTTTCGTACCACTCCAAAAATCTGCCTCAAATACTATTCTCAATCCGCACCCGTCTATTTTTTTTTTTTACTTCGGTCCCAAGAAACTAGAGCTCCTCAACGGCCAAATTACTTTGGAGATCTTAATTGTTGAAATCTCTTAACATCCATTTTTTAGAAGCAATGCAAGGATACAGAGTGAATACTATTCTCGGAGATCACCCGCCACTCGTAGTTGCCCAAGTTGCATTGACAAACAGAGTAGTGGGTTTGGGACAACTAAGATGAAAGTGGTGTAGCTTTCGAAACTTGGATAAAAGACTTTCCATATTTATATCTGTATACAGAAAATTTTATTTTAGTCTCCTTATCAAAAATAGATCGACATCAATAGTCTAAATATGTTTTCTAAGTTCTCTATAAACAGAATGGCGTATTAAAATACTTATAGAAAAAATATTTTCTACATCACTCGCGTCTATAAGTTTTTATATCCTCAGCCTATACACACTTTGATACGGCGTAAATGTGCCTCATCGAAATATTGGTTTTAGACCCAATGTTTTTTGGACCAAATCCGTTTCAGAAAATTCGGAGTCGATTTACATATGTCCGTCCGTTGTCCGTCTGGGCGGCTGGTGCGCATGATAACTCTCGAAGGGAATAATTTCATCATACTTTATGTTAATGGCCCACTTTCGATTTATACGAAATTTTACATTGTATATTAAATTGAGTCTAGAATCCTGTCTTCACATAGATCCCATTGGGGTATTTTCCGATTTTAGGGTTCTTGACCACATTTTCCAACCAAATTGGTTGTAATTTAGTATTTGGGAATCTTAGTGGATAAATAACCTCCATTCAATAAATAATCATTCTGGGTCTAAGCTTTAACATAGCTCCCATTGCGATATTTTCCAATTTTAGGTTTCCTGGTCATAGTTTCCAATCGAATCGACTGTAATTTGATATTTGGAAAACTTTGGGCAAATTATTATCATTCTGGTTCCACGTTTTTATATAGCTCCTATTGGGGTATTTTCGATTTTAGGGTTCTTGGTCATATTTTCCCATCGAATCTGTCTGTAATTTGGTATTTGAAAACCTTTGTGGACAAATGACCTCCTTGCAATAAATTATCATTCTGGGTCTATGTCATCACATAGCTCCCATTGTGGTATTTTCCGATTTTAGAGTTCTTGGCCATATTTTCCAACCGAATTGGCTGTAATTTGGTATTTGGAGATCTTAGTGGACAAATGACCTCCATGCTAAATATTATCATGATGGGTTAAAGTTTTCATATAGCTTCCATTGAGGTATTTTCCGTGTTCTTGGCCATATTTTCAAAACGAATAAAGTGTAATTTGGTATTAGGAAACGTTTGTGGATAAATGAATTCCATGCAATAAATTATTAGTATGGGTCTAAGACTTCACATAGCTCCCATATTGGGGTATTTTCCAATTTTACAGGTCTTGGCCATATTTTCTCACCGAATTGTCTGTAATTTGGTATTTGGAGATCTTAGTAGATGTTTTTGGGGATAGTATGATTCGTTCATTCCAACAACCTTTGTTTCGAAATAATCATTAAAATTTGTGTTGTTGTTCTCACTCTCTCTCCCTCTGTTTTGTGTTGTTGTTGTCGTTATGTTGTGCGTGCGTTCGTTCGTATGTCGAGTTATTACTGTGAGCATCCCTAATACTGCATTTTCCTCTGCCCCGCTTCTTTATATTTTATTACACATATGCGACAGGCGAAATACACAGATACTTCACACACAAACAGATACACATATGCACACACACATTCATATATAACATACCAACGTACGTGTTTGGTAACACACATTTGTCTTTGGATCTCTTTTTTCGAAAATGTTTCCCTTGTTATTTTATTTTTTGTTGTTATTCTCCTTCTTGTTGTTCTTCTTCATGTGGCAGCAGAAGCAGCAGCATACGCAGGGCAAGCAATGTCAGTCAGCCTGGCAAGCCAGCCAGCATGGCACAACATACTATCTACAAAAAGGCCACACATTACTTTTGTGTGTTCATCCTGATCCGAACATTTAGATGTTATTTGTTTGTTGTTGGTGCCAAGCCACCTATACTCTCTCACCCACCTCCTCCTCAGCCATGCAGCAGCCAGCAAGCTTACAATGTTGTGTGGCAAGGTGGTGGAGGAGGAGTACGATGGAGTTTTATTTTGTTTGTTATTCGTTTTACACACACATATAGTATTTAATATTAATCTCGTTACCTGGCGAACAAGGCAGCCGTTCGGATTGCATTAGCACACACACATAGGAAAAGATATGCATGTTTTCCTCATCCTCCTCCTTACAAACTTTAAAAACTAATTGCATTCACATTTATTTGTTTCCTTTTTGTTTAGGCAAAATCTTAAGGAAAATTCTTCAAGGACTGGCATAACATCCGCCTTAAGAGGTGGGAGGTGCGACACCTTGATCCCAATAGAAATGAATTAATGCTCAGACTGGTCTGAAATTTCACATATTGGAATCAAATCGACAAAAATTTGGTATTTGGAAATCTTTGCTAAAAATTATCATTCTGGGTTCAAGTTTTTATATTGCTCCCATTGGGATATTTTCCGATCTTAGGGTTCTTGACCACATTTTTTAATAGAATCAAATGTAATTTGGTTTTTGGAGATTTTAGTAGACATACAACCTCCATGCAAAAAATTACCTTTCTGGGTCCAAGTTTTCACATTGCTCCCAATGGGATATTTTCCGATTTTAGGGTTCTTGGCCATATTTTCCAACCGAATTGGCAGTAATTTGGCATATGGAGATTTAAGTGGTCATAGAATATCCATGCAAAATGTTTTCATTCTGGGTCCAAGTTTTCTATAGCTCCCATTGGGATATTTTCCGATTTTAGGGTTCTTGGTCATATTTTTTAATCGAATCGACTATAATTTGGTAATTGGGTATCTTAGTGAATAAATAACCTCCATGCAAAATATTATCATTCTGGGTCCAAGTTTTCATATAGCTCCCATTGGAGTATTTTCCGATTTTAGGGTTCTTGGCCATATATTCCAACCGAATTAGCTGTAATTTGGTATTTGGAGATCTTGGTAGATAATTAATTTATATGCTAAAAATTATCATTCTGGATCAATATTTTCATATAGCTGCCATTGGGGCATTTTCCGATTTTAGGGTTCTTGGTTATATTTTCCAATCGAATCAACTGTAATTTAGTATTTGGAGATCTTAGTAGACAATTAACATCCATGCTAAAAATTATCATTCTGGGTTGAAGTTTTCATATAGCTCCTATTAAGGTATTTTCTGAGGTTGTTGAACCGGTGACTATCTTCGTAGATAGTCAAGCGGCTCTTAAAGCCATCAAATCTTGTCACATCAAATCCGAAGCCGTCCTCAAGTGTAGAACAGCTCTGGAGGAACTTAACCGTAGCTATCGGTTGTGTTGGGTACCAGGACATTGTGACATTTTGGGTAATGAAAGAGCGGATGAACTAGCTAGACGAGGATCTCAATCCACTGATCTAGAAACTGATGACTCGATCAAACCACCCATATGTCTTTTCTATAGGAACTTTGAGGCGTTCTTTGACGAAACAGCCTGCGAACTTTGGCACAACGAACCTAGGTGCAACGTGTCAAGATCCATTTGGCCGACTCTGTCTACCAAAAGAACGCGCAAACTATTGAACCTGAGCAAAGCCGAAATTAGAGTGGTGACAGGAATCATCACTGGTCACTGCAATATCAGGGCCTTTACTAGTAAATGGGGCCTCGATGCAATTGATTATTGTAGACTCTGTGTTGACGAAGAGGAGATGGAGACAATTGAGCATCTCCTGTGCCAGTGCCCAGCCCTTGCTTACAGGCGGCACAGACTAATGGGGGCTCACTTTCTACCTAGTCTCAGCCTCTTCTCAACAACCGAACCTGCTCTAATCTACAGCATAATTAGAAGCATAAAGTGGTTAGGAGCACACAACCTTGGCACGTAACACTTTTCTGTCAGACTCATAGGACCATCGACCCTCACTCTTCACTCCTTTAATTTCACAAATCTTCTCTCCCCTACAGATCTATCCCTTATCTCTTCACTTCGCTGCTTCTCTTCTTGTGGATGATCACAACGGACCTAACCGGTCTCAGAGTGTTGCAGTCATACACGTGACTGCACATCCCCCAAACCTAACCTAACCTAACCTAAGGTATTTTCCGATTTTAGGGTTCTTGGACATATATTCAAACCGAATTAGCTGTAATTTGGTATTTGGAGATCTTGGTAGATAATTAATTTATATGCTAAAAATTATCATTCTGGGTCAATATTTTCATATAGCTCCCATTCGGGCATTTTCCGATTTTAGGGTTCTTGGTCATATTTTCCAATCGAATCAATTGTAATTTGGTATTTGGAGTTCTGAGTGTATTCTAACAGACAAATTTTAGGGTTTTTGGTCATATTTTCCAATCGAATCAACTGTAATTTGTTTATTTATTTCTTCTCCTTGTCGATTTTTAAATAGGATTTCCTTATCTATTACACAAGCGAAAAGGATATACCTATCCTGATTGCCACCGACATCAAGTTCATATTGCAACTGCTGCAATTCTATCTGTCGCATTTGCATTTTTTTCAAAATAGACCAAAATCTTCTCGAATCGCATTTGACATAGAAGCCAGTCAGCCTGCCAGACGACAACAATAATAACAACGACAACAACAGCAATAATATATCCAAACAGACATTTCATATGTTTCAGGGGGGTTATTGTTTGTGTGCTGGTGTGTGCGTGCGTCTGACAGTTAACAGCAGCATTTCCCAATGAATATTTATGTGTATTGTAATGCATATGTGTGTATAAAAAGTATATATATATATGTATTTTGTACTTATATACTATATTATATACTACACAGTAAATAGTAATGACAACTTCACAGATATCATCTACCCAGCTAGGCACCAGAGATGGTGAGAACAAGAGGACATAAACATATGTACACACCTATACATATAAAATTCATGCATATATATTATGTGTGTGTTGTATTTATAATATATATATATATATATATATATTATTTACACACACATTTGCACATTGTGCACAATCGTATTGTCACTGGTCAAGATTTTATATTTTCCGATAACAAACAACAATAATATTGCAAATTTTACTGTACTGAAATGAAAACAACCACAACAAAAAATCAAATATTTTCATGCAAGACAGACAGACGGACAATCATACATAACACACATACTACATACATTTATAACAATTACATTCATAATGAAAAAAATATATATCTTATCCTCAAAACCCCTACATGATATTTTTGTAGATGGTTTTGGAGAATATCAATATTTTTTTACTGTATTGAATTTTATATTTTATAGTTGAATGGATAAAGTATTTTGTAAATTGGATTCGAATAAGGAGGATTTAAAAATTATCATTATGGGTCCATGTTTTCATATAGTTCCCATTGGTGTATTTTCTGATTTTAGGGTTCGTAGTCATACTTTCCAACCGAATTGGCTGTAATTTGGTACTTGGATATCTTTATGGACAAATAACCTCTGGATAAAATATTAAAATTCTGGTTCCACATTTTCTTCATATAGCTCCCATTTTTGAATTTTTCGATTTTAGTGTTCTTGGTCATATTTTCCAAACGAATTGACTGTAATTTGGTGTTTGAAGATCTTAGAGGTCACACAACCTCCATGAAAAAAATTGTCATTCTGGGTCCAAGATTGCATATAGCTCCCATTGTGGTATTTTCCGATTTTAGGGTTCCTGGCCATATTTTCCCAGCGAATTAGCTGTAATTTGGTATTTGGAGATCTTAGTGGTCATACAAACTCCTTGCAAAAAATTACCATTATGGGTCCACGTTTTTATATAGTTCCCATTGGGATATTTTCCGATTTTAGGGTCCTTTGCCATATTTTCCAATCGAATCGACTTTAATTTGGTAATTGGGTATCTAAGTGGACATTTGACATCCATGCAGAATATTACCATTCTGGGACTATGTTTTCATTTTGGTCCCATTGATGTATTTTCCGATTTTAGGGTTTTTGGGCATATTTTCCAAACGAATCGATTCTAATTGTGGTATTTGGAGATTTTAGGGGACAAATAACCTATATGCAAAAAATTATTATTCTGGGTCCAAGATTTCATATAGCTCCCATTGGGGTATTTTTCGATTTTAGGGTTCTTGGTCATATTTTCCAATCGAATCGCTTCTAATTTGGTATTTGGAGATCTGAGTGGTCATACAAACTCCTTGCAAAAAATTATCATTCTAGATCCATGTTTTCATATAGCTCCCATTGGTGAATTTTCCGATTTTAGGGTTCCTGATCACATTTTCGAATCGAATTGACTGCAATTTGTTATGTGGAGATCTTAGTGGTGAAATGACTTCCATGCTAAATATCATTCTGGGGTTAATTTTTCTCATAGCTCCCATTTCGATTTTAGTGTTCTTTGTCATATTTTCCAATTGAAATTGACTGTAATTTGATATTTGGAGATATCTTAGTGGAACCAAATTTGGAACCAAATTTTCCTACAGCTCCCATTGGTGTATTTTCCGATCTTAAGGTTTTTGGGCATATTTTCCTATCGAATTGTCTGTAATTTGTTATGTGGGGACTTAGTGGACAAATGACCTCCATGCAAAAAAATTATAATTTTCGGTCCATGTTTTCATATAGCTCCCATTGGTGAATTTTCCGATTTTAGTATTCCTGATCATATTTTCCAACCGAATCGCCTCTAATTTGGTATTTGCAACATCTTAGTGGACAAATGACCTCCATGCTAAATATTAACATTCTGGGTCCATATTTTCTCCTAAATGCCTGAAAGTATGCAGTATATTATTTTCAATATTCTTTAATATGTATACATTTTTTTTAAATATTTTATCCAAGACTATAAGGTATATAATTCACATACACACATATTACATGTAACGCCCTATCATATTACTGTGTTGGTTGTATATACCACATGAGGCATGCTGTGTGCAAAAGTACATTTAATACATATGTACGTGTCCATAACTAGATTTATTTTTATTTTTTTATTATGTATTTACAAGTTTCATCCTTCTTCTTCCATACTTCTTCGTATTTATAATATAACTAAATCTACACATTCACACACACATATATATATTCACACATAACCTAACCTGATGATCTCAAAAAATCATTTTTTTGTAATATCACAACAACAAACCAAAACAAATATCCTTTCTACTTCCAATTTATTTATTTTTTTCTTTTAACAAACAACAACAAATATATTCCAAAAAAAATAAAATTTCTTGAAAAAAAAAAAATTCAAAAATTTTTCGAAATTGAAAAAAAAAATCGAAAATCCAAAAATATTTAGCAAATCAAACAAGAAAATACACAGTGTACTAAGGCTCAAGTTAAGGCCTACAATGATTTGTTATACCTCACACAATTACAACAGCAACAACAACAGCAGCAACAGCAGGAGGAGGAAATCTATATCGATGGCAAGCATTATAAAATTGTACGGAAATCTCAGCAACAGACGCAACAACAGCAGCAGCAACAACAACCCCAACAGCAACAGCAGCATGTATTACAAATCGAACAACATCCTAGTCCAGCTTCGTCGACCACCACCCAACAACATTATCCGGTTTATGCCAGTCCGGCTCTAAGCTCCACCGGCAACTCCTCCCCAGCAGCCCTGCATAATGTGGCTGCCGCCACCACCCCACCGCAAGTTATTGTTTATAAAACACCGGCAGGAGGGGTGACAGCGGCTGCGGCAACAACGGCGGCATCGAATGAAACACCCATACGAGGTGGTCGTGGACATGTTGCAAACGCTGGTTCGCCTGCAACAAACAACAACAACAGTGCCGTTGCCTATTCATCTGTGATACAAAGTACATTGCAGCAGCATCAACAGCAGCTGCAACAACAACACAATCCACAACAACAACAAATCCACATGTGGAAAATTGAAGAAGATGAAAATGCTGGCCAGCAGCAGCAGGAGGATGTTAAAAATGTACTACAGCTGCAGGTTAAACAGGAACACCATAATCTAGATTACAATACCGCCCTGGTGGGCAATAATGTTGTGCTGAGTGAAAATTTAATTTTCAATTTGCCACCCGGTTTGGAAATCAAACAGACCATGGTGAATAACAATAATCACCAGCAACAGCAGCAACAGGCTGTTGCTGTGGCGGTAGCAAATTCGGTATTGCAACACACCCACAGCCAGCAGCAGCAACAACAACACCAACAGCATCAGCAACATTTGCTGGTGCAACAGCAGCAACAACAACATCTCTATAATAATGAACAAAATCGGCAGCCAGCAGCTGCTGAGAAACGACGCCAGCACATGATTGCCAATATGTTAATGTCACCGTCCGCCGCCGCCGCCGCCACCACCTCCACAGCTTCGCCAAATAACCATCACCACCCCCAGCATCCCCACAATTCTTCTACGTCTTCTTCGTCTTCCCATCAGGCAACGTCGTCAAGCTCAGGCAACACAACAACAACAACGTCACAGATTCAAATAAATTCTAAGGTTTGTATTTATTTTTCTTATTATTATTTCTACATTTTATTTATTTTTATTTAGACATTTTTATTAATCATTTTTTTTAACTTTTATTTTCATTTCCAATTTTTTTTTTAATTTTCACATCACATTTTTTAAATTTCTAAAAAAAACAAATGTTTTTTTCTGTTGAAGAATTGTGAGTGAATGAGGAGGGTAAGCCAAGCCAAGCCGCCTTTGTTTTTTTCATTTGCATTTCTCCCCACTCCTTAATCAATAACGCCTAAAAATAGGCAACACATTTTTTAACCTTCCATTTGGGGTATATTCTGATTTTACGGTTCTTGGGTATATTTTCCAACCGAAATGGCCAAAATTTGGTATTTGGAGATCTTAGTGGACAAATGACCACCATACTAAAAATTATCATTTTGGGTCCAAATTTGCATATAGTTCCCATTGGAGTAATTTCCGATTTTGGGGATCTTTAGGGATCTAACCGAATTAACTGCAACTTGGTATTTGGAGATCTTAGTGCATAAATAAGCTCCATGCCAAAAATGACCATGCTGGGTAGAAATTTTCATATAGCTCACATTATGGTATTTTTTGATTTTAGGGTTCTTGGGCATATTTTCCAACCGAATCGATCAGAATTTGGTGTGTGGAGATCTTAGTGGACAAATAACCTCCATGTAAAAAATCATACCTCTAGCTTCAAGTTTTCATATAGCTCCCATTACGGTATTTTCCGATTTATAGGGTTCTTGGTCATATTTTCCAATCGATTGGACTGTGATTTGGCATTTGGAAATATTTATAGACAAATAACATCCATGCAAAAATTATTCCTGTAGGTTAAATTTTTCATATGGCCCCATTAGGGTATATTTGCGATTTTAGGTTTCTTGGTCATATTTGGAGATCTTAGTTGACAAATGACCATCATGCCAAAAATTATCGACTGTAATTTAGTATTTGGAAACATTAGTACATAACTAAACTCCATGCAAAAAATTGTGTGGAGATTTTAGTGGACAAATAACCTCCATGCAAAAAATTATCGCTCTATGTTCAAATTTTCTTTTAGTTCTCATTGGGACATTTTTCGATTTTAGGGTTCTTGATCACATTTTCCAACCGAATTGGGTGTAATTTAGTATTTGGAGAGCTTAATGGACAAATGACCTCCATGCAAAAATGTATCCTTCTAGGTCCAAGTTTTCATATAGCTCCCATTACGGTATTTTCCGATTTTTGTATTTGTAGATATTAGTGTATAAATTTTCGAACCGAATCGCCTGCATCTTGGTATTTGGAGATCTTAGTGCATAAATAAGCTTTATGCAAAAAATTATCCTTCTGGTTCCATTTTTTCATATAGCTCCCATTTGGGTATATTTTCGATTTTAGGTTTCTTGGGCATATTTTCCAACCGATTTGACTGTAATTTAGTATTTGCAGATATTAGTGAATAAAAAACCTCCATGCAAAAAATTGCCGTTCTGGGTCCATTTTTTCATATAGCTCTCATTGAGCATATTTCCGATTTTAAGGTTCGTGATTATATTTTCCAACCGAATTGGCTGTAATTTAATATTTGAAGATATTAGTGGATACATAACCTCCATACAAAAAATTATCCTTCTAGGCGCAAGATTTCATGTAGCTCCCATTACGGTCTCACTAAAGGAATTTCCGATTTTAGGGAGCTTGATCATATTTTCCAATGGAATCGACTGTAAATTCGAATTTGGAGATGTTAGTGAACAAACAACCTCCATTCTTTTTTACCACATCCCTTTTAGCTTCCTTTAGGAAAAATTCTAGCCAATAAACCAATCCTGCCATTATATGTATCTATACATTTTTTTTTAATTTGCACCTTATAAAAAGCGAAAAGATTTTTTTTATATAGAAAGTAATTAAAGTACTATTTTGAAATAACAATAAAAGAAAATGTATTGAAAAAAAAAATAGAAGCAATCATCTTCCTCTTCTGTGTGTATTTAAAAAAAATAATATTAAATTTAACTTCCCTTCCCTCTCTCTCAGCTTTAAATCGCTCTGAGAATTTCTTAAAATTTTTTTAGAATGTTAATAATAAATATAAATGGTGTTGTTAAGGGGGTGATGGGGTCCTCATATCAATACAGTTGAATTAAGATTATTCGATATAAAGTATTTGAAAATTTAAAAAAATGCCTGTTATTAGAGAGTGGAGAACAGATTTTTATAACTTCCTTCTCCTCTCTTTTGACTAAAAATTGTTTATCTCTTGTGTTTTTTTGTCTATTTTTTTTATTTTACAAAATCAATATCGAATAATAGGAATTAAACTGTATATTTAATTTTAATTATTTCTATTTTTCTATTCCGCCCTTTTTGTGTGTGTGTTTGTATTATTACATTTAAATTTGTTGTTGTTTGTTTTTTTTATTCTTTTTCTTCTACTTCTTGTAAATAATATCAAACACTAACACTTATTTCTATTTTTTTTTAATATATACAAATTATATATATGTTTATATTTTTAATAAAATATATAAAAATTGTTATTAATTTCTTGGTAATTTGTTGTTGTAATTTTTTTTTTTGTTAAATATTAAACCCATAAAACATTTTGAAACACCTATTTGAACCTGTGACGTTTGTTTTTGAACCAAAACCAAAATAAATATAGAAATAATGAAAAAACCAAAAAACGTATGCCACGTTGAGGAAGATGATGAACGTAAGAAAAATGTAATCTATTTTTTTGTATAATACATTTTCTTTAAATATAAAACAAAAATAATATTAAATAATTTTATATATATTAGAAATTATATATACAAAATTAAAAAAAAATATATAAATAAAAAATATTTTTTTAAAGAAAAATATTTTTAAAAAAAAATTTTTTTTTTTATTATTAATACAAAAATATATCATTACATTTTATTAATATAATATATACTAACAAAATAAATATAAAAAATAAAAAATATAGAAAAAATATATAAAATTAAAAATATAAAAAAAATATATAAAGCAAAAAATATGTAAAATAAAAAATATAGAACGTAAAAAATATTTAACATAAAAATAAAAATTTTAAAAAATATAAAATAAAAAAATGTATAAAAACAAAAAAATACATAAAACTAGCATATGCCCGCTACTTCGTTAACGAATGTGGGATATATTTAAACATGTATTAACATATAATTGTATTTTCACAGAAAACAGTATATGTCAGAAAAACTATGCTATCCACACATTAATATCGACCATAAATTAAATTTGAGTACCCTGATCCTACACCCCTACAATGATTCCAATTTCAAATTTCAGGATTCCAATTCTATCGGTTCACTCACAATTCCAATTGTACTAAATTTAGTTCATAGTAGTACCAATTTCCAAAACTTCCTACATACCCCAATCCTACACCCTCACAGTGATCTTAAATCGAAATTTCAGGATTCTAACTCTATCGGTTCACCCACAATTCAAATTGTACAAAATTTAGTACACAGTAGTACCAATTTCCAAAAATTTCTACATACCAGTTTCTAAAAACTCCTAATTACCCCAAACCTAAACCGTCACAGTGATCCCAAATCCAAGTTTCAGGATTACAACTCTATCGGTTCACCACAATACAAATTGTACCAAATTTAGTACACAGTAGTACGAATTTCCAAAACCTTCTACTTAACCCAAACCTACACCCCGACAGTGATCCCAAATCCAAGATTCAGGATTCCAACTCTATCTGTCCACCCACAATTCCAATTGTACCAAATTTAGTACACATTAGTACAAATTTCTAAAACTTTTACATATCTGAATCTTACACCTCAAGTGATCCGAATTGCATGATTCTAGCTCAATTGGTCCACCTAAAATTCAAATTGTACCAAATTTAGTATCAGTTAGTACCCATGAATATAAATTGCTTAAACTGAATCCAGAACCCAACCCTAATTCGCATTCCAAATTTCAGATTTTTAGCTCTATCCATTCACATGCTACGAAATTGTACCAAATTTAGTACATTTTAGTACTTTTCGGATAGTTACAGTTTGAATTTCCAAATAATCCTTTGCTACATCTTTCCTATACTCCATCAGTGACCCTCATTTAAAATTTAAGAGTTCTAGCTCCATCGGTTCGCCAAATACAAATGGTATCACATTTAGTACTTTTCGTACCTTTCTATTACGAATTTTCAAAAAACCCAGCCTTATCTGTCACATTCGGACCAAGAGTGACCCTCACCCAAAATTTCAAGATTCTAGCTTCAGCCGTTTTTTCTGGGCGTTGATGAATCGTTATGTCAGTCAGTCTTAGTGGGCAAAAACCCTCCATGTAAAAAATTTTATTCTGGGTCCAAGTTTTCTCACAGCTCCCATTACCGTATGTTCCGATTTTACGGTTCCTGATCATATTATCCAACCGAATCGATTAAAATTTGTTATTTGGAGAGCTTAATAGACAAATAACCTTCACACAAAAAATTATCCTTCTTTAGGTATTTTCCAATTTTTAGGTTCTTGGTCATATTTTCCAAACTAATCGGCTGTAATTTGGTATTTGGAGAGTTTAATGGACAAATGACCTCCATGTAAAAAATTGGTTCAATTTTTTCAAATTTTCCCATAGGTCCCATTACCGCATTTTCCGATTTTAGGGTTCTTGTGCATCTTTTTGAATCGATTCGATCAGAAATTTGTATTTGAAGATCTTAGTGGATACATAACCACCGTGCAAAAAATTGTCCTTCTGGATCCAAGTTTTCATATAGCTCCCATTACGGTATTTTCCGATTTTAGGGTTCTTGGGCATATTTTCCAACCGATTCGACTGCAATTTAGTATTTGAATATCTTAGGGGATACATAACCTCCATGCAAAAAATTATCCTTCTGGGTCCATGATTTCATATAGCTCCCATTGTGGTATTTTCCGATTTTAGGGTTCTTGGGCATATTTTCTAATCGAATTGGGTGTAATTTGGTATTTGAAGATCTTAGTGGATACATAACCTCCATGCAAAAAATTATCCTTCTGGGTCCAAGATTTCATATAGCTCCCGTTGTGGTATTTTCCGATTTTAGGGTTCTTGGGCATATTTTCTAACCGAATTGGGTTAGTTTGGAATTTGGATATAATTGGGGACAAACAAACTCAATTCTTTTCCCCCTTCCGATTTTTGCATTAAAAAATCTCCTACCATGGGGGGAGGGGGGTGCTTGGTTTTCTTTTTCTTTGCTTTTTCATAGTAGGTTCGGTTTTCCGAGTGTGGGCAACTAACTGACGCCTCAACACATTTTTTATAGTTCTTATTTAAATTAATTAATTTATTTAATATTATAATTATAAGAATTTAATCTACACAAAAAACAACAACAACAAACACTGGCTTACCTTTTCTTCTCAACACTCCGTCTTCACTCTCTGTTTTGTTTTCAATTCAAATTGCATTTTAAAATATATATTTTTTAACTACTAAAAATTCTAATATTAATGATTTTCTTTTTTTTCCGCTCTATTTTCAGGCTGAGGAAAAACACCAACAACAACAAATGGTGACGAAGACCACCAAAACACCGCGTAAGAGACAGCCGAAAAAGACGCTTATCACAAATGACTACGAGGCTGAGCAAAGTTCACAGCAGGATGCAACGGCAGCAGGTCATCATCAACAGCAGCAGCAACAACAACAACAGCATGTTCAACAGCAACAACAACAAGCCACATATTATGATTTCAATAACAAATGGAATACAACAACATTGAAGCAGGAAAATAATACAACAACACCGGCGGCGGCTGTGCAGGTGCCCGCAATAAATATACCCACATATGTTAATCCGCATACCCAACAGCATGCCCAGCAGCAGCAGCAACAACAGCAGCAGCAGCAACAACAACAGCAGCAGCAACAGACTGCCGTGGCTCATCAGCAGCAGCAACAGCAACAACAAGTGCCACAACCAGCTCATCTACAATCATCACAAGCCCAATCCCATCTGACCAATCTATCGCCGTACTATCCCAATTTTACACAACAAATTGCCTCACAATATTCCGCATGCATGCAACAGACAGCAGCTGCTGCCGGAGCCATACAGCATACCCTGTACAATCTCAATCAGCATCAGCAACTACAGCAGCAAGCGGCGGCAGCTGCGGCGGCAAATCAACAACAACAGCAGCAGCAACAACAACAGCATCAGCAGCAGCAACAAAATACAGCTGCAACAGCAGCTGCCGCTGCTGCCACACCTGCGGCTGTGGTGTCAACCCCTGCTGCCGCATCGGCTGCCACGCAACAACAACAGCCACAACAACCCGACGAACAACAACAGCAACAACAAGCCGCCCAAGAGGCAGCCAGCAATAAAGTCATTGTACCGAATATCGAAGAAGAATTGGATTTCCTGGCCGATTCAACACCCAAACAGGGCTATGCCAGTGCCAGTGACACGGCACGCAATACGTCGACGAAACCAACCAATATAGGCATCTACAATCCGAATACGAATAGCAACGATTCCACCGGCAGTAAAATGTCGGCGAAATCGAATATCAGTGGCAGTGTCGGTCTCGGTGTACTGGGCAACAGCAGCATCGGTGTCAGCGGCAATTCAACATCGTATGTGCCTCCCGAAAAGAAGCCGGTGGTGGGCACCTCCATTGGCGAAAAGAAGACTCAATTTATGGACAGCTATTTGAAGTTCTTGCAAGGTGATCGCGAGGAGGATGCAGCGGCCACGGCCAAGGGTGGCCGGAAAAATAATTATGCCAAGACAAATGCTGGAGGTGGTGGTGGGGGAATTGGCGGCGGCGGTGGTGGAAGTGGTGGTGGTGGAGGCAAACGAGGTAAACAAGCCCAGCAGCAACAACAACAACAACAACAAGCTCAGCAGCAGGCCCAAACGCAACAACAAAACCTAAATCCCTCAAATGATGAAGCGGCAGCAGCAGCGGCGGCGGTGGCAGCCGGCCACATAGATCCCCATGGTGGTGCTACACAACAACAACAGCATGGTCAGCAGCAGCAAATGGTAACCGGTGATGATGGCCATCAAATCAAAATTCTATCACAGACACAAATTTTGCCCAAAAAGCGGCCACATGCCCAAATGCAGGCAGCTGCTGCTGCAGCGGCTGCCCAGCAGCAGCAACAGACGGCGGCTGCGGCCAATAATTCGAATTCGCATACAGGTACATCGGTAATACAACAGCATCCTCAGCATTCAGAACATCAGCAGCAACAACAACATGAGCAATCATTCCGTCCCTATGGACAACATCAGCAGCAGCAGCCCCAACATCATCCACAACAACAACAGCAGCAATACTGTGCACAAATGGGTTATGGCTCAACACCAGCAGCTGCAGCAGCAGCGGCCACATCCAACACAACTGGAGGCGCCGGCGGCACCAGTCAAGGTATGTTGCTACTTGACCAACAATCCAATTCTACCAATACATCTACTACTACTCCTCCTACTAGCCGTAGTCCTCCATTAAATGCTTTCAACAACTCTACTACTACCAGTACAGCTCCTCACCATAATTCCTCTTCCGCCGCCACTAGCGTACCAACACACAACAATCATCATCATTTTTTAAATTTTCTCTGGTCATGGCGTTGAAAATTTGAATAGAAAAAAAAAAGAAAAAGCGGGCTAACTCCTCTCCAAGCCCCTTGATGATACAAAAAACAGAACAAAACAAAACATGATTTCCTCAAATGACAAAAAACACCAATCGCATTATATATATACATACATACAACTCAACTATATATATAGAATAGTTATATATATTTGGTACTCAAAAAAACAAGTTATTGTCCCCATTTTCGATATCGGCCATTTAATTTTTTCATTTTTTACTAACGAATCGACTGTAATTTGTTATTTGGAGAGCTTAATTGACAAATAATCTCCACGCAAAAAATTATCCTTCTCGGTCCAAGATTTCATGTAGCTCCCTTTGAGTTTTTTTCCGATTTTACGGTTCCTGATTATATTTTCCAACCAAATTGCCTGTAATTTGGTATTTGGAGAGCTTAATGGACAAATGACGTCCATGCAAAAAATTATGCTTCTGGGTCCAAGTTTTCTCACAGCTCCCATTACCGTATTTTCCGATTTTACAGTTCCTGATTATATTTTCCAACCGAACTGACTGTAATTTGGTATTTGGAGAGCTTAATGAACAAATAACCTCCATGGAAAAAATTATCCTTCTGGGTCCACGATTTTTAATAGCTCCCATTACCGTATTTTCCGATTTCAGAGTTTTTGAGCACATTTTTCAAACGAATTGGCTGAAATTTAGTATTTGAAGATCTTAGTGAACCAATCTCCTCCATGCAAAAATTTATCCATCTAGGTTTTCTCACAGCTCCCATTACCGTATTTTCTGATTTTAGGGTTCTTGATCATATTTTCCAACCGAATCGACTGTAATTAGGTATTTGGAGATCTTAGTGGACGAATGAGCTCCATGTAAAAAATTTTAACTCTGGGTCCAACATTTCATGCAGCTCCCTTGGAGGTGTATTCCGAATCTTGGGTTCTTGGTCACATTTTCTAACCGAATTGGTTACAATTTCGCAATTTGAGTATCTTAGTGGATAAATAGCCCACATGCAAAAAATTATAATTTTATGTTCAAAATTTCATATAGTTCCAATTAGCTTTTATTCCGATTTTAGGGTTCTTGATTATAGTTTCTAACCGAACGGTCTGTAATTTGGTATTTGGAGATCTTAGTGGACAAATATCCTCCATGTAAAAAATTATCCTTCTGGGTCCACGATTTCATATAGCTTCCATTACCATATTTTCCGATTTTAGGGTTCTTGGTCATATTTTCCAACCGAATCGGCTGTAATTTGATATTTGGAGATCTTAATGGACCAATGACCCCCATGCAAAAAATTATCCTTCTGTGTCCAAGTTTTCATATAGCTTCCATTAGGGTGTTTTCCGATTTTAGGGTTTTTGGGCATGTTTTTCAACCGAATCGGCTGTAATTTGGTATTAGGATATCTTAGTGGACAAATGACGTCCATGCAAAAAATTATCCTTCTGGGTCCACGATTTCCAATAGCACCCATTTGGGTATTTTCCGAATTTATTCTTCGTGATCATATTATCCAACCAAATCGGCTATAATTTGGTATTTGAACAACTTATTGGACGAATAACCTCCGATTTTTTTTTAATCCAAGCTCTCTGAATACCTAAAAAAATATTTTTTTCTAATGTATCTGACCTCTGAGAGCCCCATTACAAAGATACGTAAAAATTCAAAATTGTTCCTTAAATTGTTTTCATTTCAATTTTGTAAATTTTCTTCTTCTTTTCTGTTTCTTCTCTGTACAAAAAGTGTATTTTTTTAATTTATCTCTAATTATGTTTGAGAAAACAAAAACACAAAAAAGTATTCCTTTTTTTATTTTTTTACTAAAAAAAAAAAAATAAAACAAAAATAATTTATATAGTCAAGATATATATATGAAAAAAAAAATAATAATCTTATATTTATATATAAGACTAAAAAATAAAAAGCAATCAAAAAATAATAAAAAAACTTCTATGTAAATAAAAACATCTTTTAATTGTCAAAATGGAAAACCAAGAGAGAGAGAGAGAGAGAGAGAGAGAGAGAGAGAAAAGGAATGAAAAGCCGACTTGATTGATGATGGTGGTATGATGTTATGTTGTGGGCGTGCGGAATGGAATTCGGTTGTCGTTGTTGTTATTTTTATGGAAATATATATTTTATTTTCTATTTATTTTGGCTACAAAAAAGATTCGATTTAAAACAAATCAATCTAACCTCATTTATTTGTACAATTTTTAATTTTTTCCTTTTATTTTTAAGTATTTTTCTTCTTCTTCTTAGTTTTAAGTGCTTTTACTGATAGCCTAACTCTATTTATACATACCTAAAATATAACTATACTGTTCTAGCCTTAACGTATTTTGTAAAAATATGTTGAAAAATTGAAATATTTAAAAATTACAAATAAGAAAAAAAATTAAATTGAGGTTATGTCAAACAAACAAAAAATTAATAATCGTAGGATGGACGACAAATAGATTGATTCATAGGGCTAAAAATTAATTGGAATTATTTGTAGTTTGGTATTTCTGGATTTTAGCGTATAAATAACCTCCATGAATAATATTGTCATTCTGGGTCCAAATTTTCTTATAGCTCCCATTACCGTATTTTTCGATTTTAGGGTTTTTGGTCATATTTTCTAACCGAATAGACTGAAAATTGGTATTTGGAAATCTTGGTGGACAAACAACCTCCAAGCAAAAAATTATCACTCGGGGTCCAAGTTTTCATATAGCTCCCATTACGGTATTTTCTGTTTTAAGGGTTCTTGTTCGTATTTTCCAACCGAATCGGCTGAAATTTTGTTTTTGGAGATCTTAGTGGACAAATAACCTTTATGAAAAAAAATTATCAATCTGGGTCCAAATTTTCATATAGCTCCCATTACGCTATTTTTCGATTTTAGGGTTCTTGGCCATATTTTCCAACCGAATCAACTGTAATTTAGTATTTGGAGATTTTAGAAGACAGAGAACCTCCATGCAAAAAATTATTTCTCTGGGTACAAGTTTTCATATAGCTCCCATTAATGTATTTTCCGATTTTAGGGTTCTTGGTTATATTTTTCAACCGAATCAATTGTAATTTAGTATTTGGAGATTTTAGAAGACAGAGAACCTCCATGCTAAAAAGTATTTCTCTGGGTACAAGTTTTCATATAGCTCCCATTAGGATGTTTTCCGATTTTAGGTGTCTTGTTCGTGTTTTTCAACCGAATCAACTGTAATTTAATATTTGGAGATTTTAGATGGCAGAGAACATCCATGCAAAAAATCATAATTTTAGGTTCAAGTTTTTATATAGCTCCCTTTAGGGCATTTTCCGATTTTAGGGTTCCTGGTCGTGTTTTCCAACCAAATAGACTGAAAGTTGGTATTTGTAGATCTTAGTGTATTAAATACCTCCATGCAAAAAATTATCACCCTGGGTCCATTTTTTCATATAGATCCCATTAGGGTATTTTCCGATTTTTGGGTTCTTGGTCGTGTTTTCCAACCGAATAGACTGAAATTTGGTATTTGGAGATCTTAGTGTAAAAAAAACCTCCATGCAAACAATTATCATTCTGAGTCCAAGTTTATTTTTAGGGTTCATGGTCATATTTTCCAATCGATTCCCTTTTTTATGTTCCGAAACCCATTTTAGTTCCATTTTAACACTAAAGTGTTAATTTCCAATATTTAGATTTTATAACTCAAAACCATGGTTCCATTTTCAATATAATAATATTTTTTACATATATTTTTTCAATATCTAAAAAAATTTAAAATATTTTTACCCCTAATAAAAATTTATTTTTCCAAGGTTTTTTTTTCAAATACTACAAAAACAACAAACAACAATATTGTGGTGAGAAATATGTTTCGTTGTAGTAGAGTTTTGAAAAGCCCATGAGATGCTACTCTATATATAATTTTTTTATAAAAATCCTTTATTTTTTTCTAAATGAAAAATTTTCTTTGATTCCCCCCTCGATGTATTATTTAGATCCACTAACACTCCCACCCAGGCGTGAACAATGTTTACGTAAGGCCAAAACCAACAGTATAGCTATATTAGGTACGACAGCGGCAGCTACCAGCGGTCCCACAGACGATGTCATGGCTGAGCCAGATGAATTTGCCGATTCGGATACGGATCCAGTGTGGACACCACAGGAAGAAGATGTAATTCCATGAATTTCATCTCATACTCTCATAGATAGTTGAAATTTTCTCTTAAATTTCTAAATAAAAACAATTTGATTTTTTAATATTTTGTTTTTCTTCTTTTGATTTTTCATCATTCTCCTCCTCCCACTCGTCCTCCTCAAAGAGTGAAGATGGCAAGGGGTTTAAAAGAAAAATGGCCAGACGTACAAAAAGTTCACCACGTAAACATTATAATCAACAGCAAATGCAGCAAGTTGTACACCAACAACAACAGCAACAACAACACCAGCAGCCGTTACAACAATCACCGGTTCAACAGCAGCAACAACAGCCCTCACAAAATCCCGTTGTCGTCACCACCAATGATGGTTACACGTTAAATCATGATATGGCCAATACATCAACAAGTTATACGAATTCATCTGGTGCTGGCGCCGGATCAGATAATTTTAAAGTAAATAGAAAAAAAAATAAATTTTTTTCTGGAATGAAAAAAAAAATTAATGCCCTACACCACCGATTCAACGATTTTAGGGTTCTTGAACACATTTTTCAACCGAATCAACTGTAATTTGGTATTTGAGGATCTCAATAGACAAATAACCTCCATGCAAAAAATTATCATTCTGGGTCCAACTTTTCATATAGCTCCCATTATGGAATTTTCCGATTTTAGGGTTCTTGATCATATTTTCCAATCGAATCGACTGTAATTTGGTATTTGGGGGTATTAGTAGATAAATAACCTTCATGCAAAAAATTATCGTTCTGGGTCCCAATTTTCATATAGCTCCCATTGGGGTATGTTCCGATTTTAGGGTTCTTGATCATATTTTCCAATCGAATCGTCTGTAATTTAGTATTTAGATATCTTAGTGTACAAATAACCTCCATGCAAAAAATTATCATTGTGGGTCCCAGATTTCATATAGCTCCCATTATGGAAATTTCCGATTTTAGGGTTCTGGGCCATATTTTCCAACCGAATCGACTGTAATTTGGTATTTGAAGACTTAGTGGTCAAAATAACCTCCATGCAGAAAATTGTCATCCTGGCTTCAACTTTTCATATAGCTCCGATTAAGGTATTTTCCGATTTTTTTAAGGTATTATATTATATATTCCCAGTGGTCAAATAACCTCCTTGCAAAAATTTATCATCCTGGCTGCAACTTTTCATATAGTTCCGATTAGGGTATTTGTCGATTTTTTGGTATTAGTGGTGTAGGGCATCATATTGTCGCTGCCTTCCTTACTGGGTTTTAATTAATTTGTTTGTTTTTTTCAGACCGGTGATTTTATAGTTTTACGTACAGATTTGGTTAATGATTGGCCCACCATATGGCAGGTGGATTCCAAATGTATTCTACAAAAATATGAAGCCTTTTATCAGAATGGTAAAACATTTTATCGCAATATGTCCAAGGTAAGTTTTCGAAAAAGAAAATAATAAAAATAAATAAAATCGAAATAATTAAATTTATTTTTTTTTTACAGTATGCTTCCTGGAATTTGGACACGAAGAAATTATATTTAAAAGCCCCCGTACGCATACAAGTTCAATCTCATACCGAAACAATTGTGGAATTTCTCAGATCGGAATTAATAGCCGATGACACTGAGCAATTTATCGAGAAAATCATGGAGGACTATTTATCGTATAGAGATCATTTTGAAATTTATATACAAACAATGATATCACAAGTATTAGATCCAAGTTTCTTTTCGGAAATAACCAGGGAAAAGGGTAAGAGAAACAAATGGAAGGGAAGGGAATTCCAAATAATGTTCTTTTTTGTCTCTTTTTTTCCAGATGAATACTTTTTAGGCAGTGTTCGTGCCTTGGATACAATATTAGAAAATTGTAAACGTAAGCTGTTATCGATAACACCCTGGACCCGTAGTGTTATTACCTCAATAGAAACCTGGCCCAAGTGTCATGTCTTCTCCGAATGGGGACAAAATAATTTAACACAAAAAAATTGTGCCGGCTGCCATCAGCCGGGCATATCGGTGCGTTTTCTATTATTCGGTCAACCCTATAATTCAAATACCATGCAGACAATACCCACAGATGCCCGCATGACCTATGAAAAGGTAATTTTTATATTTTTTATTTTTTTTTTTAATTCATTTATTTTTAATTTTTATTTTTTTCTTCCACTTCTCCAGGACATTCTACTGTGTCGCATTTGTGCCGCCCGTGCAGATATTTTCCATAAAATTGCCCATGAAAAATATAATCTTTATGTAAATTGTTCTCGACGTGTATCCGAACTGCAGGCGGAAAATCCCAACAAATCTTCGACGGAAATCTTAAATGATTTGCTGGCCGAACACAATTGGATCGATGAGGTAAATATGACTCGACGTGGTGGAAGGGTAAAAAAAATATTTTTCTTAATTTATTTTATTATTTGAAAATGGAACCAATAGAGTTAGGTTAATTTGTTGTATGTGGTTTTCTACAGGTGTTATAAATATATAGGTTAAGTTATTTGGTATTTGGAGATCTTAGTGGACATATAACCTCCATGCAATATATTGTCTTTCTGGGTCCAAGTTTTCGTATAGCTCCCATTACGATATTTTCCGATTTTAGGCTTCTTGAACATATTTTCCATCCGAATTGACTGTAATTTGGTATTTGAAGATCTTAGTGGACACAAGACCTCCTCGCAAAAAATTATTATTCTGGGTCCAGGTTTTCATATAGCTCACATTACGATATTTTCCGATTTTAGGTTTCTTGACCCTATTTTCCAACCGAATCCACTGTAATTTGGTATTAGAAGATATTAGTGAACAAATAACCTCCATGTAAAAAATTAACATTCTGGGTCGAAGTTTTCATATAGTTTCCAATTACGATAATTTTCGATTTTAGGGTTCTTGTTTATATTTGTCAACATAATCAGCTGAAATTTTGTATGTGAATGTATTAGTAGACAAATAACCTCCACGCAAAAAATTATCATTCTGTGTACCAATATTCATATAGCTCCACATTACGATGTTTTCCGATTTTAGGGCTCTTAATCGTGTTTTTCAACCGAATTGGCTGTATTTTGGTATTTGGAGATCTTAGTGAACAAATAACCTCCATGCAAAAAAATTAAAATTCTAGGTCCAAATTTTCTTAAAGCTCCCATTGCAGTAATTTCCGATTTAAGGGTTCTTGGTTTTATTTTTCAACTGAATTAACTGTAATTTAGTATTTGAAGATCTTTTAGAATAAATAACCTCCATGCAAAAATTTATCATTTTGGGTACCAATTTTCATATCGCTCCCATTACGATATTTTCCGATTTTAGGGTTCTTGGCCACATTTGTGAAACGAACCGACTGTAATTTGGTATTAGAAGATATTAGTGAACAAATAACCTCCATGCAAAAAAATAACATTCTGGGTCCAAGTTTCCAGATAGCTCCCATTATGATATTTTCCGTTTTTAGGGTTCTTTGCTACATTTGTGAAACGAATTGGCTGTAATTTGGCATTTGTAGATATCAGTGGACAAATAACTTCCATGCAAAAAGTTAACCTTCTGAGTCGAAGTTTTAATATTGCTCCCATTGGAGTAATTTCCGATTTAAGGATTCTTGACCACATTTGCCAAACGAATTGGCTGTAATTTGTTATGTGGAAATCTTAGTGAACAAATAACCTCTATGCAAAAAATTAAAATTCTAGGTCCATGTTCTCTCATAGCTCCCATTGGAGTAATTTTCGATTTTAGGGTTCTTGATCATATTTTCTAACCGATTCTTCTGTAATTTGTTATTAGGAGACTTTATGGGACAAATAACCTGCGTGCAAAAAATTATCAGTCTGGATCCAAGTTTTATATTAGCTCCCATTACGATATTTTCCGATTTTAGGGTTCTTGGTCGTAGTTTATCAATATTTTTTATATTAATTTTTATCTCTTTTCCCTATTTTTTTCCAGCTCTTCCGTAACATGAGAAATTCCTGGGCCGAGGTCGAAAGTCTCGAAAGGCAAAAACGCTTTAGAGAAGTCTCACAGTGAATCAAATGACAACAACAACCACAAGGCAACTGCTGGACATTAATGAGAGAGACTTCGTTTATTATTTTTTTTATTATCGCTAAATATAAACACACATACAAACATACTCACAATGGTCGTGTGTGGATTATGGATGCTACATATTCCTTCTACTCTGCAATACACATATATATGAAAACAAAAACAACAACAAATTAAACTATTCAATGATAAGGTTTTATTAAAAAAATAATAATAATTAATATAAAAAACAGCAACAAAAGAACTATAAAAAACATAATTAAAAGCAAATTAGTTTTGCTTATAAATATATAAAATATAAATATATGTTAAAATAAACTATAAAAAACGTATACATATGATATATATAAAAAAATAATATTAATTATAATATTAAAAATAACAACAACTAGAAAGCCACACTTAATTTTACTAAAAACAAAATAATTTAGTATACAAAAATTAAGAATTTTTGTTTTTAATATCACACAGCGTTAATAATTAAAAAAATGAGGATTAATTTTTTTTTAATTATTTAAAAGAAAAAGGCAAATTTTTTTCTTTTTAATATGATTTATTAGTAATTAATTTTTTTAAATACTAAATTTTTAAATTAGTTTATAAACAATCAAAAACATATATAAAAAAATACATTATTAACCACTACCCCCCATGAGAGAGCATAATCATTATTAAAAAAATAAAATAAACTATGAGGTAAAAATTAAAAAAAAAATATTTTGTTTTTTATTCTATGATTTTGTTTGGTTTTATTTTTTTATTTTTGTAAGAAAAATAAAATATCCATCATTCATCATTTATAAAAAAATAAATAATATATATTATAATTATTTTTTTTTTTTTTTTTGTATTTAGTTGTATAAAGTTAAGTTTTTTTTTTGTCTAAGAATTTACACCTGCATCCACACAGAAATGAAAAAATATTTATATAAAACTATATATATATTTTTTGTATAAAAACCAAACCCCAATCAAAAAACATCAATAAAATCCTAACATTTTATAAATAAAAATAAAAAATTAATTTAAAAAAAAAAAAAACAAATAAAAAAATGCTCCCCTTTTTAACAACAATACACCACCACGAAATTACACACCCATATATATATATATATATATATAATTCATAAAAAATATATGAAATAATTTTGAAATATAATAATTTTGATTTTTTTCAAAGCCCTTTATAGGAGCATTTTTCAAGGGTCTTCCTTGTTTAGAAAACTTTGTGAAACCTCTATGCAAAAAATTATCATTCTAGCTCAAAGATTTATTTATTTATTTTAGGGTGCTTGGTCACATTTTCCAACCGAATAATTTATTGTATGTGGTTTTCTACAGGTGTTATAAATATATAGGTTAAGTTATTTGGTATTTGGAGATCTTAGTGGACATATAACCTCCATGCAATATATTGTCATCCTGGGACCAAGTTTTCGTATAGCTCCCATTACTCAAAGATTTATCATAGCTCCGATTACAATATTTTCCGATTTTAGGGTGCTTGGTCACATTTTCCAACCGAATCGGCTGAAATTTAGTATTTGAACATCTTTGAGGACAAATAACCTCCATGCAAAAAATTATCATTCTGGCTCAAAGATTTCTCGTAGCTCCGATTATGATATTTTCCGATTTTAGGGTTCTTGGTTTTATTTTTCAACCGAATTGGCTGTATTTTTGTATTTGGAGGTATCAGTGGGTAATTAACCTCCATGCAAAAAATTATCTTTCTGGGTTCAAGTTGTTATATAGCTCCTATTACGATATTGTACGATTTTAGGGTTCTTGGGCACATTTGTCAAACGAATTGACTGTAATTTGCCATTTGGAGATTTTAGTGGTCGTACAACTTCCATGCAAAAAATTATCATTCTGGGTTAAAGATTTCTCTCAGCTCCCATTATGATATTTTCCGATTTTAGGGTTCTTGATCATATTCTCCAACCGAATCGACTGTAATTTGGTATTTGGATATTTTAGTGGACAAACATCTTCCATGCAAAAAATTATCATTCTGGGTCTACGTTTTCATATAGCTCCCATTACGATATGTTCCGATTTTTGGGTTCTTGATCATATTTTCACACTGAATCGACTGTAATTTGGTATTTGGAGGTATTAGTAGGTACATAACCTCCACGAAAAAAAAATATTCTGGGCCCAAGTTTTCATATCGCCCCCATTAGGGTATATTCCGGTTTTAGGGTTCCTAGTCACACTTGTCAAACTAATTTGCTGTTATTTGGAGATTTTAGTGGTCGTACAACCTCCATGCAAAAAATTATCATTCTGGCTCAAAGATTTCTCATAGCTCCGATTACGATATTTTACGATTTTAGGGTTATCGACCATATTTTCCAACCGAATCAGCTGTAATTTAGTATTTGAACATCTTTGTGGACAAGTAACCTACATGCAAAAAATTATCATTTTGGGTCCCAATTTTCATATAGCTCCCATTACGATATTTTCCGATTTTAGGGTTCTTGATCATATTTTCCAACCGAACAAATAACTCCTCTTCTCAGCAATATAAAATCTATACACAAAGTTGTCAGGTTGTATAATATTGATTATAGAAGTTTTGAAATTAATTAAAAAAATAGCTAACCATTTAGAAAAAAATAAAATTATTTTTTTTTCAAAAAAATATTTTGTTGTTTTTCATTGTTTATTTTTTTTTATTTTTTGTAACTTTGGTGTGCTATTATTACATATATACATAATTTACATATACATAAATATTTTTTTAAAAGCAACAACAGAAAAAATTAAAAAAAACTATATAAAATAATGTTTAAAAAAATAATAATTATTTTTTAAATACATAATAATAATAATATTAAAAAAAATGATTTTATGTTTTTGTAATTTATTTATAGAAATGATAATATATATACATATATATAATACAAAAAATACAACAATAAGAAGAAGAATAATAATATACTTTAGTAATACAAGAAACAAGAACAACAACAAGAAGAAAGGCAAACAAAGAGAAAAGAGAAATAAAAAATGAAACAATAAATATCGAAACAAAAAAATAAAATACTGGCTTCAATTCAATTTTTTCAACATGAATAACAAAAACAACAGCAAGAATCAGGAATTAAGATAACAGGGGAATACGGGAACATTATACCAGGTAAGTAATTGTTGTAATTTTCTTTTTGTACATTCCAAATATTAATAATTTTTTTATTTACAATTTCATAACCACCTCCAATACGCCGTAATCCTGCAAATCCCTAACCAGGCCGCACATTCGCTTCTTGAAAATGGGCAAGGTACGTTCCGTTAGCAAATCATATTCATCCAATAATTCCTGACGCTTGGCATTGGCACTTTGCACATCGGCATCTCCTCCTGCCCCGCCTTCCTCCTCTTCAGAATTTTCCGACGACGACGATGATATATCTCTTATAGCTGTGGCTACCTCATCTAAATCGGGCAACTCACTGGAATTCGATATAAAAAAGGGTATAGAAAATGCTGCCATACATAGACCAAAGATGCCGATTGAATGCAATTGTTCGAAAAACACTTTCTTCGGATAGATATCCTCCATTTGCAGCTGATGCTGTTCAATGTGCCGGGTTAATTCGGCATAATAGATATCGAGTAGTTCATTGAAATGAACACGGCGTAAATCATGATCGGTACTGGTGCAAAGATAATGCATTAGATCGACAACGGGAGAGGCATAACGGGATAGCTGGAAATCAATTAGCTTGGCACTTACGGCTTCATTTGTGTGGTCCTAAAACGGGAGGAAAGGAAAATTAGGATTTTTTAGAATTAAAAAATTAATTTAAAAAAAATTCTCATTCTGGGTTCCAATTTTCATATATCCCCCATTACGATATTGTCCGATTTTAGGGTTCTTGATCATATTTTCCAACCGAATCGGCTGTAATTTGTCATTAGGAGATTTTACTGGGCGTACAACCTCCATGTAATAAATTTCCATTCTGGATCCCAATTTTCAGATAGTTCTCATTGGGGTATTTTCCGATTTTGGGGTTTATGGCCATATTTGTCAAACAAATTAGCTGTAATTTGGTATTTGGAGATCTTACCTCCATGCAAAAAATTATCATTCTGGGTACCAATTTTCATATCGCCCCCTTTAGGATACATTCCGAATTTAGGTTTCCTCGCCACATTTGTCAAAAGAATTGGCTGTAATTTGTCATTTGGAGATTTTAGTGGTCGTAAAAAATTATCATTCTGAGTCAAGATTTCTCATAACTCCGATTACGATATTTTCCGATTTTAGGGTTCTTGGAAACATTTGTCAAACAAATCGACTATAATTTGGTAATTGGAGATCTGAGTGGACAAATGATGTATATCCAAAAAATTATCATTCTGGGTTTAATTTTTCATATAGCTGCCATTACGATATTTTCCGATTTTAGGGTTCTTGATCATATTTTATCTTCTATCTAAAAATGATCCTCCGAGTCACGAGTTAAAATCTACTTCTTCGAAGTCAACTGAAGATCATCTGAAAGTTTTCTCTCACTATGGGAAATATTTCGAAGGGGTTACCAAGAAATTAAACAATGATTAAGACCATAAAAAAACCCTTAAAGATGCCCTGAAGCTTTTTTGTCAATTGAAAATCTAGTGAATTTCTTATGTCTGTTTTTTAAGTTGTTCTGTCTATAGAGAAACTCTGGAGAGTCGTATGTCTGTTGAAGGCCTCCTGGAGCTCTTCTTCCTATAGAGGCCCTTGGGTATTTTTTTGCCTACTGAAATCCTTCTGTATCTTGTCTGCCTATTGAAACCAATTCGTAGCTCTTCTGTCTATTGAAATCCTTCTATAGCTCTTCTGTATGTAGAAGAGCTTCTACAATTCTCCTATCCGTAGAACATTTCATAAAGCTCTTCAGTCTATAGAATTTCTTTAAAAGTGTCTCTTGTCATTAGAAGTTCATTTGAAGGCCTTCTGAGGCTCTTCTGTCTACAGAAGACCTTTGAAAAGTCTCTACGTAAAGACCCTCTTGAAAGTCAGTTATCTTTAGGAGCCCTTCGGTATCTCTTCCGTGTACAGTGCACCTTTTGAAGGTCTTCTATCTGTTTGTAGAAGCTCTCCAGTCTATAGAATTTCTTTAAAAGTGTCTCTTGACATTAGAAGTTCATTTGAGGACCTTCTTAGGCTCTTCTGTCTATAGAAGTCTTCTGTATGCGTGAAGACAAGCTATCTTTAGAAGCCCTCTCTTCTGTATATAGGGGGACCTTCTGAAGCTGCAAAAACCCTTCCCAAGTCTGCTGAAGATTTTCAGTCTATAGAAGGTCTTCTTTGAATTAAAAAAAAAAAAAAAATCCGATGGAGTTCCTTCTACCTAAATCAGATCCTTCGATGCTATTCCCTCTCGTTAGATGAAGCTCTTCTCTGGGAAGACCCATTAAAGAATTTTTTTTATGGCCGAACTGAACACAGTGATTCAATATGAACAACCTGATGCCCTGGGAGTCTATAGAGGAAAATAATTTGGTGTCCCGAAAATTGGCAGCATTGTGAATTTTCATAACACGTTGGAGATAATCCAATCCATAATTGATACAATCGAACTTCGATAACTCGAACTCGAACCACCATAAAAATATAGCTAAGGTGATATCCGAATATACGGCATATCCTTTCGTTATTTTTGATGATAGTTTTGGAAAATTATTTGTTGAAATTCGGATGATTTCCAAGAAGAGGAAATAATTGAGTCTATATGACCAAGCTCTACAACAGGGTTTTTGGTCCCAAAAATATCAAAAGCATTGCGAATATTCATAACACGTTGGAGGTAAACCATTACATTTCCTATCGAAAACCATATTCAGCTAAGCGAAATTTTTGATATGATAGTGATTTCCCTTCTGAGACGATATTCAGCTATGCTGAGTTGGAAAATTCCTTCAGGAAAAATAATTCAGCTAATCTAAGTTGAAGAATTTCGCTTGAAAACCTAATTCAGTGTAGCTGAATTGCAAAATTTCGCTCCAAACCCCAATTCAGCTGAACTGAATTGAAGATTTTCACTTGGAAAACAAATTCAGCTGAACGAAATTTTAGAATTTTCTTATCACAAACCATATTCAACTAAGTTGAATTGCATTGCATTTTCGCTCAAAAACCTAAGCTATGCTGAATTGTAAATTTTTTGTTTAAAACCATATACAGCTGGGCAGAATTGAAAATTTTCAATTCAGCTAAGCTGAATTGAAAAATTCATATAGGAAAACCTAATTCAGCTATGCTGAATTTGAAGAATTTCGCTTGAAAACCTAATTCAGCTATGTTGACTTTGCAGATTTTCATTTGGAAAATAAATTCAGCTAGACGAAATTTTACAATTCCTATCACAAACCATATTCAGTTAAGTTGAATTGCATATTTTCGCTCGGAAACCTAATTCATTGATTTATGGAACTTCGAGTTAGGGAAGGAATCCAATACAGAATTGATACAATCGAACTTCGAAAACTCGAACCGCCAATTTTCCGAGAAAAAACTTCGAGTTACAAGAAATTTTGATTTATGGAACATCGAGTTATGAAAGTTCTACTGTATTTCCAACCAATGTATGAATATTTTTTGAATCGATTTTCACCGAATTCCGTTCTTTTGATCTGAAAAACATTTTAATCGGAAAAAAAATTTCGAGTTAGGAACGTACAACATATTGTCTATATGGACAAGCTGTAAGACAGGATTTGGTCAAAAAAATCAAAAGTATTTCAAATTTTCATAACACGTTGGAAGTAATCCAATCTCTAATTGATAAAATCGAACTTCGATAACTCGAAGCAACAATTTTTCAAAAAAAAAAACTTTGAGTTAAAAGAAATTTTGTTTTTGTGGAACTTTGAGTTATGAAAGTTCGACTGTAAGTCCAATTTACGTTGGAATATTTTTTTGAATCGATCTTTTCCTAATTCCGCTTTTTTAAACTGAAATAAATTTTAATCTGATTTTTTTTTTTCAAATTGTTCGGGTACACTTACATCATATTTATACAGCATATTATTATTCCAAAAATCCCCATGGCAAATGACCGCATATGGAGCCATTGCCGCACCATTGACACACTGCATTGAGACCTCTTTAAAATTATCCTCCAATTTTTGTAAAGCCTCAATTTGTTTCAATATCGATGATGATGAGGAGGAAGATGAAGTCGATGAACGCTGCATATCCTGTTCCAACATTACCCTTGTTTTTCTTATATATTTCTTACCAAATTCTATGGTAATCGGATCGATATTTTCGTTGAACAGATTATCGGAAAAATCTTTAATTAAATTTCGGAAAATCTGCGGTTTCTTCGATTGCAAAATAAATGACATTGCATGAAATTTGGCAATGGAACGAAATGTGGCTGAGGCTAAATCAATTGTGGGCATTTGAGTGCGAACATTTTGCCGATGGCCACTTTGCCCCAAATCTTCACAGATAAGGAATTCATCCATATAGTCGAGACAGCTATACCACATTTCAGGTACTATATCAAATTCCCCTCCGGCACATAATTGGCGGAATTCGTCGAAAACTGTTTGATATAAAAACACTTCTCGATGATATAATTCCGGAATGTGGCTATGATCACGAAAGGCTGGATTTTTCGGTGATAACTTTAGAATGCTATAAAATTCATTGGTTGATGGCTTTGTGGTGGCCACTTCCGTTTCCTTCGCAGAGTTGTCATTCTCTTCGCCATTGGTGGCATGCTTTTGTTGTTGTTGCTCTTCTGCCATTGGTCGCACACACACTTGCATTATCAAACCGTAAGAATTCTCACCAACTCCCGAGACCGGTTTAGCTGTCAACACATACTGTGAGCAAAAGGAGGAGGAGGAGGAGGGAGAGAGTACGGTTGTTCGCTCTCGCACCAGCTGCTCATAAGCTTGCAAAACTTTTGGAGAAAGTTTTGTTAGAATTTCTTCATTCTCAACGACGATAAGTTTTTGTTGTGGTTGTTGTTGGGCATGTTTGGTTGTGTTGTTATTATTTTTTTGATTACTGTTTATTGTAATTTGATTGTTGTTGTTATTGTCAGCCATAATTACACACAAAATTGGGAATAATTTTTTTTTTTTTTTTTTTGAGGGGAAGAGAAGAAATCGAAACGAAAAAAAGGGGAATTATTTTTTTTAGGTGACCGTGTTTTTTATAGACCGCCCGTCGAACCCGTTCGTTAGCTATTTTTGAGACAACTAAAAGACCTGCACTAATATTGCCAGTATTTATAGTGGTTAGTTTTGATTGAGTACCGAGTGCATAGAGAGAGAGCGAATGAGAGAGTGCGGGAGTTTTCTTTGTGTTTATAAAAGCTTTTTTTGTATTTCGGGGTAAAAGAAATTCTAAACAAATACGACACGAATAGTTATTTGACAACAAAAAAATAAGTTAATAAAAAAATTACGTACGGGTGAACCCCCTCCCGGATCGGATTGATAAATCAAATATAGGATGTGACATATTTTGGTAACGCCCATTGCCAAAAAAAATTATTAACACCCACAACGGGGTGATTAACAAGAGCTAAGGCAAAGGGAGTCAATGTGGACATGATATGGCTCTATGCTACCTATATTGACCAGTTGAAGCCCAGTGAATCGATATAGACGAGATACAGGCCAGTGAGTCGACATAAACGAATTTGAGACCACTGATTCGATAGAGACGAATTAATGACCAGTAAGTCTATATAGGTTATTTAATGTCCACCTCAGTCTATATAGGCGAACTGAAGCCCTGTGGCTTGATATAGGCAAGCCCAATGAATCGATACAGACGAACTTAACCGCGGCCTATGTAGTCGAATGATACCAAGTGAGTATGTATAGGCAAACTGAATCACGATTAGTACATATAGTCGAAATGAAGCCCATGGAATCGATACAGGCGAACTTAAGCCCAGCGAGTCGGAACAAGTGAACTTAAGCCCAATGAATCGATACAGACATATAGGTGATTTGATGTCCACCTGAGTCTATATTGGCGAACTGAAGTCCTTTGAGTAGGTATAAGCAAACTGGAGACCAGTGAATGGATACAGGCCAACTGGCGCCCAATGTACAGTTGAACTGAAACACGGTAAGTCTATGTAGTCGAACTGAAGCCCAGTTAGTCCATAAGTCGAACTGAAGCCCAGTGAGTCGGAACATCCAAACTTGAGCCCAACGAATCGATACAGACATATAGGTGAATTGATGCCTGGGTCTATATTGGCGAACTGAAGCCCTTTGAGTAGGTGTAAGCAAACTGGAGACCACTGAATGGATTCAGGCCAACAGGCGCCCAATGAATCGATACAGACGAACTGAAACCCGGTGAATCTATGTAGTCGAACAAGTGAGTCTGTATAGGCGAACGGAAGCCCGATTAGTATATACAGTCGAAATGAAGCCCATGGAATTGATACAGGCGAACTTAAGCCCAGCGAGTCGGAACAACTGAACTGGAGCCCAATGAATCGATACAGACATATAGGTGATTTGATGTCTACCTGAATCTATATTGGTGTCGGAACAAGCGAATTGGAGTCCAATAAACCGATACAATTGAACTGAAACTCGGTAAGTCTATGTAGTCGAACTGATACCCAGTCAATATGTATAGTCAAACTAAAGCCCGAAACCCAGTGAATGGATACAGGCGAACTGAAGCCCAGTGAATCGGAACAAGCGAATTGGATTCCAATAAATCGATACAGTCGAACTGAAACCCGTTGGGTCTAAATTGTCAAACTGATGCCCAGTTAATCTGTATAGGCGAACTGAAGCACCAGTTAGTCTATACAGTCGAACTGAAACTCAGTGAATCGATATAGGCGAACTTAGGCCCTGTTAGTTGGAACAAGTGAACTGGAGCCCAATGAATCAATACAGACGAACTGAAACCCAGCAAGTCTATATTGTCGAACTGAAACCCAATGAATCGTTACAGGCAAAGTGAAGCCCGGTTAGTCTGTATAGTATAACTAAAGCCCAGTGAATCGGTACAGACGAACTGAAACCCGGTGAGTCTAAGTAGTCGAATCGATACAGGCGAATTGAAACTCTGTGAGTCTGTACAAGTAAACTGGAGAACAGTGAATCTAAGCCGAACTGAAGACCGATGAAAAGTCGAACTCAAGGTAGATATACAAGGTAGCCGCATTGGCGAATTTCTACAACAAACATCGGTTGTTGTATTTTGATATGTCAAAAATATTTTGCCAAAACATACAGATTGACAAGATTTTTTACACAAATTCTTGTAGAAAGTGTTAATAAAAGTATTGCCAAACAAGTTCTTCGAAATTCAAAGATTTTCATTTATAATTTTGTTTTTTTTTTTTAATTTTTTGGTTCAACATTACAACCACATTTTTGACATTTATTTACTCCAACAGCTGGGCCGCTGCGGCTACCTTATCAAATATACCTTGGTGAACTGATACCCAGCGAATCGATACAGGCGAACTGTAATCGGGTGTGAGTCTACGTAGTCGAACTGAAGCCCAATGAACCGATAAAGGCGAACTGAACTGAGAATATAGACGAGCTGAAATTCAGCGAGCGCTTGTAATGGTCTTTCAAGTTGATGCGGAGATGCGCACAAGACAGATGCGCTTGGAAATCTTTTTAAGCTCGGATTATGGAACTAAGCTAAGTAAAAGTAAGTAGGTCCTAATTTGTTTAAAGATCCCTGAAGCTTATTTTTCATAACACGTTGGAATGAATCTCTATACTTTTGAAGTCCCCTGAGTCAATGGAGGTAACATAAAGTCAGGGTATACATTTTTGTTTATGGTTTGTGATATAGTTTTGCCTTTTAAATTCTCATTGTCTTGATCATCTTCTTTTGAATCTTGGCAAAGTTCAGCTAGATATTCTTAGGCGTATTTTCCATAACACGGTGAAATGCAACCATTCTTTATGGACTTTTTTTACTATTGGACTATTTTGTTTTGCTCTTTTGTGGACCTCTGGATCTAATATTTAACTAGGAATTCCAAACTATAAAAAATAATTATGGAAAGTTCTTTATTTTCGAATTTCTAAAAACAAATATTGGCAATCATATCTATTAACAAAAATCCATTTATTTTGATAAGTATATATGTCAAAAAATTTAAATTGGTTGTACGTGCGTGATTTGAGAAAATTTATCTCTATCAGCACAAAAGTGGTTATAGAAATTTTTACTGATTATTTTTCTATAACAACAAAAAATCCGCAACCACGATATCAGTAAATTACACCTGAAAAGTAGTAACAAAAACTATAAGTTCAATGAACTCCCAGATATTGATTAAAAGTAAATGGGTCAATGAACTACAAAAACTAAAAAAAAAACGAAAAAATTGATTAAAAATTTCCCACTATTATCAATCAGTCTATAATACCCCTTCCAAAGATAGTTGTAGTTGCATAAAAAAAACTATTTTTCTCCAATTAGAATTCACGAGAGCAAAGAACGCCCCCACACTCTTTGACTCTCTCTCACAATTCGAAGATCTCTGGGTGTACCTTACACTCTTTGTTACTCTCTCATGCAATTATTAGCAGGCCGAGAGATTATTGAAAAGCTTTACCTCTCCGTCGATATTCTCTCTTCTCTTCTAATCTATTATGTGTGTGATAACATGCACAAGAAAAAACTAATCGTTGAACTTCGTTTTCTTGTGCTAATTTTCGTTGCCGTTGCACGATTACCGCCACCTTTCACTACTACTTCGTACTTGTTCCAATTTTTTTGTTTATCTCTTCGAATTTGGTAATGAATTGGCGTCGTACGCATTGCAATTGTGGATTTTTTGTGTAGTTGAGCAGTGTCATTATTTTAGCATGTACCCAGCAAATGACTGCTGGTCTGACCTACCGACCAACCGGCAGGCAAACCTATTTTGTCTAATATTTTGTTTTTTTTAGAGAAATATGATGGCCTTGATCGCTACGGGTCATTGACTTATTTTTCTAATGTTTTATTGTGGGAGCTGGCATAAACACGATTGCATTGAATGAGAGAGTGTGTCGTCTCACCTGCGGCTACCACTACTATTATGAATTATCGGATGTATGTATGTCTATGAGGCGGCTTATGTTGTTATTGTACACATGTATATTGTGTGATTGCATAGCGCAGCCGAGGCACAAAATATTAGAAATGCCATCCTTGAATGCGGTCAATGACTGTTTGGCGCGTGTAGTTTTTGTTTTCGCCGTCGTCATATTGCTGTGGGTATCGGTGTTCGATTTGCGTATAACAACTATAAAATTAATGATATTGCACTTGACATTTAGTAGATGCTTTGTCATGGTGTACTGGTGGTTGATTGGGCGGGATATAAAACCTATTCGCGGAATCTATGGAAGATATGAACTGAGTCTTAAATGATACAGATAGTATAGACAGCTGACGCCCAGAGAGTCAATACAGAAATCCTAAATCTCAATACCCTATTATTTAAAATGTAAATATCAATACATCGGTAGTAGAAGATATGTTCTTGAATCTTAAAAAAATTGACGGCATTTTTGCCTATTCAGAGGAATAGTATAAATAGACTGACTTCAGCCCGTAGAGTTGAAGTAATGTAGTAATAAGTAGTAGTAATGTTCTTGAAAATGAAGCGGTATTCAGAGGAACCTGTTCTGTAATCGACGAGAGACCTTACTTAAAAGCTTAAAAAGATTTCCCCGCGCGTCATTCTTGTGCGCATCTCTTCCAATTTGAAAGACCATATTCCGAGAGGTTGTCTTCTATTTGATCTTTCCATCGGATTCGTGGCCTTCCCCTTCAGCATGAGCCATCGGTAGGCTCGCTTTTATATGCCTTTTGTGCTGGGGGCATCCTCCATCCATTCTCACAACATGACCTACCCAAAGTAATCGCTGCAGCTCGATACGTCTGACATTATCGATGTACGAGAATAGATGGTAGAACTCATGGTTCATTCGACGTTGATATTCACCATTATCCACCCATAGATCTTTCGGAAAATTTGTTTCTAAACTGCTTACATAGACTCCATAGTAACATCTGTTGGTCAACACTATCCTTCTCCGAATTT